GGTTTTGCACAATTTCTCCCCCCCCCCCCCCCCTCCTCTGTGTTGCAGAGCACCTGTGACACCCTCCGGAGTCAGTCGGAGAGTCTCGGATTCACGCCGAACATGTTACCTCGTCACCCGACTCTAGGCAACTTCGAGGAGTTTGCTTGTTGACAACATAAAGAAGGGGTTGGGGGTGGGGGGGAGGCAGGGGGGCACATCCGGGGACTCGACAGCAAACTGTGACTTAATGTATGTATTTAACAGAAACCGTTTGAGTATACTATAGCAGAGTTTATCAATGCCTGAATAGAAATAGAGTACTATCATCAGAAGAAAAAAAAAAGAGAGAGACCACTTACAAAACAGAACTCAGGTTTAACTGCCATGTCAAGGCATCTGTGTTAATTTATTCATGTTTCATTTTGTGGATTTGTTTTTCTTATGCTCTCACTTTTGAGTTATACAAGCAGAATATAGAAATATGTTTATAAAATGCTTTCTGAGCTGTGATGAGGTGCAGCACTGCTGTGCCTGCTTTGCTGTACGTACCTCAACAAATGATAATTGTGGATTGGTATCTGCAGCAGAGCAGATTCTCAGCAGTGTTCCGTCTCCAGCATCTAACACATGCTGTAGTGAGTGACCTTATACTGTCACCAGCTGGAACAGGAGAGCCCTTTTACATCTCAGTGAGCTGATTGTTGGATAAAAGAGCCGCTCAATCTTGAATCCCCTCACTAGACTGGTGTTTAATGTTGCCTTTTGCTACTGTGAGGCTCTTATGAATTTAAATGACTGTGCTTAATCAATTTAAAAACAGAAAGGGAACTTGATTATTTGTATATATGCAAGTATCTGGTTTTGTTCCACAGGGATGGCAGAAACTACTGAACTGGATGTGTTAGTTAACTTAAGTGACTTTCTACATGTAGTAAGGGTTAATTAAAGAGTCAGGAGGCCTGAACAAGGCTATTGATTGTATCTTTATATCCTGACATTTCTGTTTCCATTGTTTTTACATATTTTGGGATTACCTTGCTGTGCAGTGAAAATATATGCTAGCATGCAGCTTGCTGCAGAAGTTAGCCCTTATTTACAGTGAATTCATTAGAAGAGAAACAATTTCCCTTTTGCCTTTTTAATCATTCTCAGAAACAGTTGTTCCATTGCTGTGTCTTAAAGGTGTCCATCAGCACAACCCCCTGTGATAGTAACCTATTCTCTATTGAACATAAGAAGACCTAAAGAGGTGTGTTGGCGACATTCCTGAACTTGACAGAAACTTGTAAATACCCGCAATCAAATGCCATGAAGAAATTCTGTACTGCTTATGTGAGACATTTGTCAAATATATACTGTATATATATCAATATATCTGAATATAGATATATATAGAGGAAGATAAAGTGTTCTCCTTTCTGTTGTTACTCCAGAGAAGGAATTTGAACTTTCTATCTGGGTGGACCGTAAGTGTCTTTGAGTTTCTGGTGATTATAGCGTGAATCCACTGTATTGGATACAAGAGAATTGCCTCAAAACATTAAAAACCACCGCGCACGTCAGCCCCATTTAAAACAATTGATTTATAACGGAAATGCATTGTAAAATTTGACCATTTTATTATTATTAATCCAGAACATGTAATAAGTCACAAATAACAGTTTGTGATGTATAAATGAACAAGTATAATAAACTCAATATTTACCCATCTTACTCACGTACACAACTTTTCTTCTGATCTTCGTGTGAGTCTCTCGTTGTTAATGTTCACTGTTATTTAAATCCTTGACACTACAGTTATGGACTTGTTACACTCGCATATCCTCACTATAAATACTTTACTGGAAATTCAGAGTAGTTTTTTTTAATGTGAAAGTATAATGCTAATCAAGTTAAGTGGTGTTCATAACACTGTAGCTTTATACTCTGTGTATTAGATGACTGTTGATGTGAAGCACAAACCTTTGGAGATCAGCCATCACTTGAAAGCCAATGACTGGATGTCTATGGTTGTGACTACCTTTTGTGGCTCTAGTTTTAAATACACACCCTGTTACTTGGTGTGTTCACTTCTCGATCATTAATAGGAAAAAGGGCGCTTGCCAAGAACAGCCAGAGACTTTATCCAAATGGAAAACGTACTTTTCAGGAAAAAAGGTGAATCGGCGGCATTGTGTCATGAGCAATAAATGCACTGAAACGAAAATAGTTGAGATACATAAAAAAAAAAAGATTTGGGATTCCCATTTTTAATAAATGATGTTTTCACCGACTGGACTGATAGACTGAACAGCTGCAACACAGATGTATGATATGAAAATTGTATATTAGCCATCATTAGCCAATTAAAGAGACAAATGCCAATTCATGTTACACAATGATGCTATTCTGATGATGCTGCATTGTCATGATGATTCTGAGTGTGTGTGTCATGTTGTTCGGGTTAAGAAGCATACAAATGACCCACCATTTACCACGAACTGGCTGAAGGATGTGTGAAAATGTCCTGGGTCTTTACCTCTCTCTCCCCTCACCCCCTGCCTTACTACCTGTCACAGAACAGCAGAGTGCATCTGAACTGGCAGAAACTATAACTGTTAGTCCTCCTGATATTTGCCGCATAGTTATGGCCAAGTAGAAAACCGTACTCTATATATTTCTGTCGCCTAACACTGACATTTGAATTATTATATTTCCAACTAATTATGTCACATCATCCATTTTCTCCCTTGCATGACCATTATGTATTCCTATTATCTCTGTTCTCTTAATGTAATCTTAGTCATGCTATTCACTTTGTATGGTCCAAAATGTACAAAATGTATATTCTGGAGCCAGATGAATCAAAAGGATGTTCTGCAGGTCCTCCTCAAACCAGGCTTGGGATCGTGCAATACCCAAAAAGGGAAGATGTGGGGAAACTGATATATCTTTCCATCAATTTTTATGGATATAATAAACATAATGTGGCTTAAAGTAGAAATAAATGTGCCTTCAAGACTGGTTGTAACAGGTAACATCAAAATTTCCATGCGTACAAAGATCTGGGGAATTGAACTTGCTTCATCTGGCTCTACGTGCTTTATGTGCATTTTATTGTAGATATGTGATTTTAACTCTGAACTGTACATTAAATAGTTAATACACACTTAACTATGTGTAACTTAACTCGTTTTACTGACAGCACATGTACCTGCATGCCCATTTTAAAGGCCCTTAAAACTCGAAAAAGCTCTCAAAGTGGACACAAAATGATCTAGTAATGGTGCTTTCAGGGGCTCCTCTGATAGTACCATATCCCGAGTTTGGAAGTTGTTTATTTGACTTCTGTGCATTGATAGTCGAAACATTGCGTCGGAACAATTGAAGAAAGCTCTCTTGATGCGTTATGTTTATGTATGCAGTATAAGAACAGCTTAATGAGATTTGTTTTCCTTTTCTTGAGCTGTAGTTGGATGCTGGCTAATAGACATCTATGCACCAATCAGAATTGTGCAACATTTAAAAAAGTATCTAAAGACAGTTGGTGGGTTTTTGACTTGTTAGGCAAAAAGTCCTGATGGTGCATATAAGCTGGTGTTTCACTATTACTAAAACTCCTACTTATAGTTAGGATATATAATAGGTTCAGATATCCAGCAGTACTATATAAAGTAATACAATTAGCTCCACATTTATCAGCTGTGATGAACACATTAATGCAGAATTAATAATATTCCAGCCTTTAGTATATGATTCTGAAATGGGACATTACGCACAATAAGTACTTTTACTTTTGGTAAGTACTGGCTTTTGATGCCAATACTTTTGTACTTTTACTTAAGTAAGATTTTGCACGCAGGACTTTCACTTGTATCACAGTATTTTTACACTCTAGTATTTCTGCTTTTACTAAAGTCAAATATCGGAGTACTTCCACCTTTTTTTTGTTGCATTTATAACACGTTCATTTCATGATATTGAGAAAAATGTTTTGAATTAAACAATTTCAAGAGCTTCAAAGTTGATATCTAATTTGATCAAACCTTGTTGTAGCCTAGCCTGGTGTACACTGTAGCTACACAATTATGACAAAAAGCACATTAGATGCTGTCTACTGGACTATTTTTTATCACATAGTATTATCAAGATGTTTCCAAAAAGCAGAAGTAGTCAATGTGACCATATAAAAAGCAAACTGTGTAAATCCTTTTGAAATAACAAGCAAACTTTTACAAAATAGATCTCAATACAAGGTCTGTTTAGCGGCTGTTTCCCGGCAGACTGATTTTTCTCAGTTGTCATGGATACAATCCAACACTCAATAACAGCTGTTGAACGGATGGACCTTGGGGCGATATTATTTTGGCAGCTACCGTTTCCAAAGTCAAGAATGAACTTTTGTTCTTAAAGGTCACCTATTTAGCAAAATCCACTTGTTCATGTCTTTTATACATAAATATTTGCCCCGTGTGTGTAAAGAGATTTGGAACATTTCAGGAAAAAAGACCCCCTCTCTTTTTGTCCTGATCCATTTATATAAAAACCTGTCTGAAAATGAGCCGATCAGATTTTGGCTACTTTATGATGTCATAATGATTTTTGGCTTGTGTGACCATTAGCCAATAACCAACCAAGGTAACACCCGCCCACCTTATCACCTGAATCTCCTCCTAGAGCACCATGATGTTTTTTAAACCAATCACTTTGCAGCAAGCGTGGTCAGCAGCAGCTCATTAGAATTTAAAGCTACAGACACAGAATCAGCACTTTTAACAGGGCTGAAACAGAGGGGTTTATGGGATGCGACAATGAATGATCTGTTTGGTATTTCAAGCCAAACACTTCCGAGACATGTTTTGTATATATCTGAGACCTATAATATATTGTTTAAAAAGAGTATAATAGGGTACCTTTAAAAGCAAACATGTATTTATATCCAGTTTACTGAATACTGCGTCTTATTGTCTGACATATACATCAAATAATCAATGACATGTGTCTCATGGGTTTCGACCAACACAATGAAAGATACTAGCAAAGTGCAAAACACCTCTTCATTCAAATCTTAAATAGAAGCTGTACAAAGTAACTCTGAAGCAGTTTGTTATCACTAGAGAATGAAATACTGAGAGGAAATGCTTTTGTTTTCTTTCATTAAACTTAATGCACACACACACAACCTTTAAATCCTAAAAGAGCTGACTAAAGATCTGAGTTACATTGAATCAATATGAAGGAGTTTCTGTACCAAATGAACTTGTGCTACCTCTTTTAACGAATGCAAAACAAATGGGCAGACATTCCATCATTAATAAATACATGCATCCATTATCTTCTTACATCAGCAAAATGGAAATAAGTTATTTCCCTATTAGAACAGCTACTTCAAACAAAATCATTATGTAGGCGTATTTATGGGATAAGTAGCGCTGTAACGATCTGGAGTAAAATAACACTGCAAGCTGTTAAACCATGTTGATACAATGAATAACCAGAAACAGCTAATGGTGCAAAACAATCATTATATGAAAACACAGATTATCAGTGGATTACCTGGATTCTCTAATTTAACTACAGAAGCATTTCAGAAGAGCTAAAAGATGTTAGTATAATTATGATGTAAAAAAAGTAACGTGTCACTAATGGTCCACTAGTCATTATCATGAAATTATGTATATTGGCCCTTTTATTGATAACCGGCTATAATCCTGGCTGTCAGTGTTCAACATATTTAATAATATTTATATATACTAAACGATTTCAAATAAAACTTACAAAGTGCAGAAAAGAAATACAAAAGGGGAAATAAAAAGCCTGAGAAAGTTAAAATAATAAATTAGCTTTCCATGCTATTATACAATCTTGTAACTAGGTAGTGGGATGACGAAATGTACTGTTGGTATGTGAAACCTCCGAATTACAAGTCTGTTTTCTGTCACGAAAAAAATATATAACACTATATCATACAGGTTTGTTATTTCCTAATCATTTCATAGGAAGTTTCCAGGAAATAAGTATGTTTTTGGTACTAATTACAAAGAAAATAATAGCTTATGTTACCTACGAAGCAAACATGCAACATTTTGAAAAGTCTGTACAGAAAAATATACAATTTAGTCAATGTAGTCGAATGAGTGTACACCATAAGTGAATAATTATATAAAATAATTCTCAGGTTTAATTAAAGTATTTCTTTCATAGCATTAAATTAGTACCAAATCACATACAGTATTTCAAACAAGAAACATTTCCTGGAAATAATTTTGGAATTACAGACGTGTAAATGAAAGTGAAATAAAAATAACAAACAATCCTTAAAAACATTGACTTAAGCCTTCATCATTTTCAAATGAATCTCTCCCTTGTCATTCTAAAAAAATACGAATGAATTGGAAAAAGTAGCATTTAGCCGCCCCAGGATCTGTGGTCTCTACTAGAGCCAATACATCAGCAGATTTAAACTTTTACCGATATGCCAGCACCAGCCTTTGTATTGCGGCTAATACAAAAAGTCACTGCAGGATAGAAATGCCAAAGAAATATTTTAGATCATTAAGAAAAGGTTTAGTTTGCAATGGCATATCTCAGAGAGGCTGTTTGGTCAACTAATGCGTCAGCACTTTTCAATTAAAATCTGAATTAATTTACCAAATGTGACCACAGAGTCAAAGGGCCTTATTCCATCCATAAACAACTTGTTAAAAGTCAGAAATGAACAGCATGTTAATTGTATCGGTCTTTTTGAGCGGAGGGGCTTTTGTTCTAAAGCATTTCCACAGTTATAAAAAGTATTTAATGCAACATGGTGCATCCTCCCACATTAGCGCTAATTTACTGGGAGGCATTTATATAAAAAATTAAACAGGCTTGCAATTTAAAACAACCTTAATCCTTGCAGAGCCACCAGGCCGTCGTTCCAGAGGCACAACAGAATGAAATGCAGGGGAGTGTTAGAGACCGGAGAGGGATTTGCCGTGTTGGTCCTAATGACCGAGCAGAGTGAAGGATGATTGATTCTGGTGGCTGAGGTTCAGCGAGTGGCCGTTTAGCTTTTAGGGTGGGCAGAAATCAGCAAAGTACGGGTGCTGCAAGGCCTCCTCTGCAGAGATCCTCTGGACAGGGTTACATTTTAGCAGGTTCTGGGTGGAGATAAAAGGAAACATTAATAAGTGGACAGAGATGTAGAATTTATGGCAAGCACAACTCTATATTAGCAACAATTGGTGGATTGGTTAGCTGAAGTTATGACTTATAGGCATGGTTATAAACAATAAATATGTTTTTTTTATCGTTTATAACCGTGCATATAAGTCATAACTTCAGCTATTGACAGTTGTGATAATGTCTTATGATATTTAAATAGAAGCAGGCAAGTTGAATATGAAAGTACCTGGAGTAGATCCCGTCCTGTGCTACTGAGTTTGGGCACCACATTCACCAGCGAGGTGGTAGCCGGATACATGGGATATGGCTGCAGGTAGAAAGACAATTTCAGTACCACATGTCGTATACTGCCTCCACTGTGGGTCAGACAAAATAAAGGTATTAATAAGTTACCTTGTAATCGGGGAGTTTCGTCATTGTTTGCCACTGTTCTTCAGTTGGTGTACCCAACAATGTACTGAGTGGTTAAAGAAAAACTTTGTTGTGTGCCCAACCTGTAAAGACTTACTGTTTGTAAATCATTCATCATATAGTAGGTTAAAGAGTTCCATATATAGCGAACTGCAAAAGCAGAAGAAAGCAGAAAAAAAGGATATCTGAAGATTCTTTTCAACTGGTCGTCCACATCGTTTCCGGGGAATAATGGCCTTCCAGCATTAGCCAGCTCTGAAAAAGACGTGAAATCAAAAGGAAACATGATTAACATTTATTATATATTTCGGTTACATATACCCGACTTTGATTCTTAAAAAGTTAGGCACAACAGAGCAAGCAAATTTGATCCAAAGCGCCCTAAACTTATATTGATGAGTTATGATTTTTGTATTTACGATTACCATTAACCTAGTCACTCAAACAGGGTAAAAATGGCAGTTATGGCTAGTGAATGTTCATATTTTACCAGCCACTCATAGGTTACAATTGATTTGTGGCTGGTAAGTGATGAAAATCTACTAGACACTTTACAAATGGCTGGTAAATGTTGCTAATTGTGTACCCTGCATACAGAACAAAGTTAGTAAAAACAAGAATAGAGTAACATATATTCTTATTAATGTCAACAATTACAAACAAACCTGCAAATATGCATCCTGCAGACCACATGTCAATTGAGGTAGAATAAAGTTTAGCACCAAAGAGCACATCAGGAGGCCGGTACCACAAAGTCACCACCTACGTAAAAATCACAGAGAGTGTTAGAAGTGAATTAGCTCCAATTATCACAACTGGTGTTAACACAAGCGTTCAGGCATTCAGTGTAAAGACCGTTCTCTGATTTCAGAAAGAGTGGGATTTGTCTGCACTCTCACAAAGACTTAATCTGGTTCCCCTTAAAACGTCTTCAATTTCTACAAACTGTTCTTTGTCAGGTGTCGATGTTTGAGAGACATTTTTCAAGGTTATATAAAAGCGCACTGACAGAACAGAATGTGGAGGTGTATTGTAGTGTTGATGCTTCTGCTTGAAAAGTTCAATTTGGTAAAGATGCTTATTTTCAGCACATGAATTATATTTTGTCCGGGATGTTTACAGAGAAATAATTATCTTTATAAATCTGCAAATCTTTGAATTTTGAATAAAATAGCTGTACTTCAAGCCTCTACGTAATTTGAAAACGTCACATATGGAGTCCCCACCGTTTGCATGTTAAAAAAGTGAAGCACAAAGAATAATAAATGAAGCAGCTCTTTATGTCTTTCTTAGTCTTTGTGTAACACAACTTAGAGCAATTTCAATCAAAGCCATCATAAAATCTGGTTGTTTTTGTGGAAAACTTCACATCTTTCCTTAACATTAAAAAAAACGATTATGCACCTGATTAATAACTCTGTAACGGCTTCACGTTGTTTAATTGTTGCAGTATAAAAAAGTAAGAACCCAGGTGAACTCCACTATGAAACTTTCGACTTGGGGGGGAATGATGCTGATGCATTTAACAAAATACTTATACTGTCATTATAGGAACTTCAGTGACTGTATTTAATTAACGCTATCCATCCAAATAACTGTAGGACCATCCATCTCTTCTTGCTGAAAGAGTCTCAGGGTAATACATCATCTGAAATTAAATGACCTTTTAAAATGACCTTACTTCAAAATTGCAAAGCTTCAAACTCTGTTCCCCTCTAGGTTTTCTGTTTATTACATTTCCAGATCAGAAGCAGTCACCCTGGGTCAAGTGCCCCCTCTTGAGATTGGTGTGCCGGGCCCTTAGGTCAGCCAACTAAATCCACTGAACCTGAGTCTGAAACGTGCCTGTCACATCTCTGATAGCAACAAAACAAAAAAAATCACAACACCATTTAAACCACCGGCTGCTGTGTGTTCGTCTCTCTCCCATATCATTTATTAAGGGCTTAACGTCAGGACCTCAGAGAAACTGAGGCCATCGACTGTTCACACGAATAACAGCCATTTAATCGGATAACAAAGGAGCATTGTAGAAGAGGCCATGTTGGAGCAGTTTGCTAGTTGGAGGTCACTGCTATGCCATATTTTGAATTTACTTTTCACCTGATATTGATTTTTCTGTCATGTCATTCAGTCCTCCAAAACCTGAAAGCTTTCAATGTATTGATCAGACGCTGTCTATCATGTTTCACTGTACTGTAGAACATAAAGACGAACCTGAGGACTGAGAGATAATACATAAAGCCTTTTGTCTCAATACCCAATTCAAAATACCACACAAATATGTAGGGACTGTCTACTAAGTAAGGTAAAAACAATATAGCATCAGAAAGAAGGACATTTGTGCATGTTACATTGTCAGATGTAATACACCTTTTGTAAAAGTCTGAATTAAGGGCATAAATCTTCTTGTGTCATTAGTTAGCACCCAATTCCAAATCTCTCAATGGCAGGCAATAGGTCAGGATTCCATTTTTCCATAAGTCTATGCAATCAGTTATTAGCACCTGCTGTGTTAATAAAGTACAACGTACCTCGGCTGAGTAACACCTCACAGGAATGCCAAAGGCTCGAGCCAACCCAAAGTCAGCCAGCTTCAACTCCCCATTCTGTAGACAGAGACACACATAACCAAGATAATATTAACACAGACTAAAAAACTATTTGCCGTGCATCAGATTTAGCTTTACATTTCAGACATGCTGCTGTTACTGATTTCAGGTTTTCGTGGTTAGATCAGCCTTTAAGTCAAAGTCCAAACGCAGCTAAACACTCACTCTGTTTATGAGGAGATTCTGCGGCTTCAGATCTCGATGAAGAACGTTTCGACTGTGACAGAAGGCGAGGCCTTTCAACAGCTGGTACATGAATGACTGCATCAGAGAGACAAGTTTAGAGACAAAAAAAAGTGTAAGCCGTTAATAACACGTATACCCCAGATGATAATGGTGATAATCCGAGGAAAAATATGATGCTATTATCTGCAAACTGTTATTATAGTATTCATTTAAGCAGCATGCTGTACTTGGGGATAAACCATCTTCTAAGACTGGACTATCCAGGATTTGTATGTTTCACCTTCACAGTTTCAGGATCTAGATCCCCATTGCAGCTGTCAAAATACTTCTTCAAATCCTGCAGTTGATAAGAGACACACATTAGCCTTGGAAGGTGCAGATAAAAACATTGCATTGCATTGTTTGAGATGGATATCTCACCTGATCACAATATTCAAAAACCAAGGTTAACTTCTTGTCACTGTGCAACACATCATGTAGTCTGCAGAGGACAGAACAGATTTAAGTAGATGGTTGTTGACATCAGGGTTAAATGCAAGCTGCTTAGCATGTTTACTTATCTGACGAACAGTAAATTATTTATAACTCACAAATAGCATCAGGTTAAACAGCAGACTGACCTGACAATGTTTTTATGCTTAAGTTCCTTCAGCAGACAGATTTCCCTCAGAGCAGAACTTGGCACCCCCTGAAAGAAATGACACCCAGTGTGATTAGCACTAGCCTGCTTACTAGCATATAATAAAATGAATATGATGTTATTCTGAAAACGTACCTCGTCGTCGTCGTCCAACCTGACCCTTTTCAAAGCCACGATTTCGTGGGTTTCTCTGTTTTTAGCCTTAAAAACTGTTCCATACGTACCTGTAGAGCAGATAACGAGTTAAATCAGGCATCGTATTTATGAATGGCATTGCTAGCTAGGTACCTAGTGTTAGCTCTTGTTAGTATCGTAAAAAAGCTGGCAGGCAGAAATGTTATCTCGAATAGCCTTTTAAAAAACTGTACACACAGCTTAGTATATGGTTAGCAAGGGAGCCTATTTACTGTAGACACGCAGCATAGAGTCTAGCTAACGTTACCTAGAAAAGCATCTACAATATTGCTAGGTTAGCCAACCAGGCTAGCTAATATTACTCAATAAAAAGGGTATGAAAACTTACCCTCTCCGATTTTTTCAAGCTTCTCATATTTCTGCATGTTTGGCCAGTAAGCCAACCTCGACAAAGCTAGCAAACCAGTGACGGATAAAAGCCCCTAATAGGGGTAAATATTGTTGTTATAGCTAGCGTTAGCTTAAAGCTACATGCAGTTGCTGCTCCTGGTCTGTCTAAAGCCGGGCTTGTGTTGTTGGTCCTCTAGAGGCCAAAAGATGCATCGCAGCCCACAGAAAAACCAGACCAAAGACTCCAAAACATTGCTCGATGCAGAAACATCGAAGCAGGCAGCACTATTCCGTTTGTGTTTATTTTTTATGGCACACTTTGTCTGTTTGTTGCAACTTATTTAATTCACACTTAAACAAATTACTAATTATATACAGTCATTACGTTTGAAATTGTGACGAACCATAGCTAGAGCTTATTCAACCTTTTGTACATTATTCTGTACAATTCTCGATAAATGTATGGTAAATGAAATAATCATAAAGAACATGTAGGCCTATATATATTATCTATTAATATATATATATATATATATATATATATATATATATACAGTGAAGACTAAAACATACATACCTATACACACACACCAATGTTCATACTTCAGTTTCATATATTAATCACCGTCATCTCTTTTCTATTGTTTTGTAATGTGCATTATGATCATTTCCTTTTTAGAACTGTTACACAAAACATGTTACACATCTTTGTTTAATATTTGTATAAAACACAGAGCGTTAACTACTGTAGTTCACACTGCACTTCCATGGAACACATTCTCAATTTGTTCAAATGTTCCCACATAATTTAGTCAAAGACAACTGTGAAGGATGTTTATACTATATGTGATACCTTGAGTTTCCTGAACTTAAATTGAATCTTTGCAATCTAATCTGAAGCAGCATATAGATTCTACTGGGAGCTGTTAGGCTAATATGTTAGTCTAGGCCAACTTTTCATTATTAATTACAAATAGCCTAATTTGCTGTTAAATAATGTAAACACCATTGTAAATGGGATAGAAATCTTGGATTTCACTTGTTCAGTTTGGCAAATTATACAATAATCCAATTAATTAATAGTGATTGCTTATATTAATCAGTGTCAGTGGGCAATACTTTGTGTCAGTGCACAGTGTACAGGCACACAAGGGATGTATAAAAGAATGCATCACATTAGAAAGGAACCATCTCTTGTTATGATTTTAAAAAAGGTGGCTGTTTGCTCAAAGTATTTAACTGAATAAGTTAGTAAAACTGTATTTACAATGGTAGATTCCAGCTTTAAAAGGGAGGTTAAATTGGTGCCATGATCCATAAAAAATAACATACAGTGCAGTATTTTCTCAATAAAACATGTTTAATACTTGTGTTCCCTTCCTAACTATACTTGATCATTCTATACAGGATAAGAGAACACAGTGATATGAAAATCCCATTTAAATTAGTCTCTGTACAGTAGTTTGGTAATCATCACAGGCTCATTGAGTTGGTCCGCTAATACATTTACTGTACATACATACAGTACATTTGAGATTTTTGTTGTAAAACTAGACAGAGATCTGGTAGATATACATTACATGTTTTACATAATTCATCTGTTCAAGCATGCTTCACTATGAGTTTCATTTTAAAAATAACATAAATTACTCAGTGTAGATCTACAGTAAACAAATTGTTGTGTATTCATTTTTTCCCCTCCGCTCTTTGCCTGCGGATCAGATCGGAATAAAGTCCTCCTTTGGCCAGCAATTCCAAGTGAGAACCAGCCTTAAAAGACAGGAAAAAAACTGTAAGTTATAATTAAAACTTATATTACACACTAAGTACTTTGAGATGGAAGCAACAAGTATGAACGTAGCTCAATTTAGAACCAAGTGAACTCTCTTTAAACTTTCAAGGGATTCCAATAAATAAGCCACGACTTTAACAGAAGATAAAATCATATTAATTTATCTGAAAAGTCTGCTTCCTCACCTCCACAATGCGGCCGTTGCTCATGACACAGATGAGGTCTGCCCCTTTTATGGTGCTCAGCCGGTGGGCGATGATGAGCACGGTGCGCCCAGTTGTAGCTCTGTCCAGAGCCTCCTGCACCACCCGCTCTGACTCAGCATCCAGAGCGCTGGTGGCTTCATCCAGCACCAAGATGCAGGGGTTCTTGATCAAGGCGCGGGCGATAGCAATTCGCTGTTTCTGGCCACCTGATAGCGTTGCCCCTCTCTCCCCTAGGTAAGGAAATCTAGAGCTTAGTATTTAAATGGAAAACAAATGTTAATATTTAGTGTGCCTACATGAAAGCACGTACCAACCACAGTGCTATAGCCGTCTGGGAAACCTGTAATGAAGCCATGAGCATTGGCTTGCTTGGCTGCGTTAATGACTTCAGCATCAGTGGCTTCAGGCTTCCCAAAGCGGATGTTGTCCATGATAGATGATCCGAACAAAACTGGCTCCTGCAAAGATACAGGGTGGAAGATAATAGCGTTGGAAATTATGGATTTCCAGCCAACCAATAATTACATGGTTCTTATAACCAAAACCAATAATTTCACATTTATGTATGGTTTATGCACAGCTGAGGGAACCCTAAACCTTATGAAGATGTGTTGAGCAAAGATGGATGATTCAATATTCCAAAGCTCGGAACTTACCATATTAAACTGCTAATATCGCTATTGTTAACACAAAAAACAGAACAGTTCTCACTCTCCAAATGTTCATTTATTTTTTCTAGTAAAATACATCAAAACACTAAACTGTTGTCTTCCTCTGAAACTGTGAAAACAGTCCATCCCAGGTGACAGCATGTTTGGCTCAACAGTCAGATTGCTGTGCTTGGTTTTCCTTCTCCTCTGTGTACATTGGCAGATTGCAAATGTCTCTGAAGGGGCATACAACCACGTACTGTTTCGGAGTGTGAAGATGCTCCGTGGAGATGCTTGTTAAATCAATGAAAGCAATTTTCCCCTTGAAGATACGGCGATAACTGGACTGCTTCAAATATATTATGTATAATAATAATTGTATTAAACTGAATCAATAATAAAAGTCATGCAATATTGATGAACAATCTTTACCTGATTGATAAATCCAATGACCTGTCCCCTGAGCCAGGTCAGATCGAGTGTTCGAATGTCAAGTCCGTCCACCATGACTAAACCGCTGGTCGGGTCATAGAAACGCTCCAGCAAAGACGCCACAGTGGACTTTCCTAAAAGTAAGTATTTGGTTAATAATTTGAAGGCTCACATTGTTTGCGTGTCAGACTTTCACAATCATTAAATAGGATTTTACCTCCTCCAGATTCTCCAACAATGGCAACAGTTTTACCAGGTGGCAGCGTTAGGCTGAACTTTGACAGGACCTGTTGGCCGGGTCTCGTTGGATAGCTATAAACATACAAATAAAATAAAAGTATAGATAGTATCAGCTGATATTTATGTGAGGTTATTATCTTGAATTGCCTTGAAATCTACTTCCATTAAGATGCGGTTCCAACCTGAATGAAATGTTAATGAAATCTACTCTTCCTGTCAGAGAAGGGTATGGGATGCGTCCTCCTCCAGACAGAGGGATGGTGGGCACCAGAGACAGGTATTCAAAGACTCGGGCCCCAGAGCTTAATCCCCTCACCATCTGTTGCAGATTGACAGCTTGGTTTATCACTGGTTTTGGTTCATCAGATGTTGCAGACATAATATAATGATACATTTAAGATAAGACATGTTCTATACTTGCCAATGACTTTTACTCACCTGTCCAAAAAGGATAGAGATACCAGCCAACGACCTGAGTAGAAAAAGTATACAGCAGTCTAACATCTGCTACATTTTAAATGATACATTTTATTTAAAAGATAGATTGGAAAAAAAGAGCAACCATTGTAGAGCAGGATGTATTTTTACCTCTGAACAGTCTGTGAGGCAACCAGGAAAGACATGAGGTCTCCAGGGGACATTTCATTGCTAGAAATTAAAGTCCCTCCAGCAAAAATGGTTCCCAGGACAATGCCTGCAATAACGGCACACAGTACAAAAGCATAACTGTAATGGATCTGCTCAACAATGGATTTGACAGTTAACATAGTAAAATATACACTCACAGTTAAGGGCAATGTTTGATAATCCTTGGAAAACTGCAATTCCAGAACCAAGATCTTCATTCATTTCACATGACTTGTCAACTTCATACGCATATAGCCTGGGGAATAAAGACACATACATATTATTTCTAACATACAGCGTATTGTGTCTCTAAAACTACTATGACTGTAAGTATATCAAATAAACTCTCACTTACTGGAGCTCCCGCTCCTCCATCGCAAAAGCTTTCACTGTCCGCACATTGCCAAGGGCCTCATCTGCCACTCCTGTTGCTTTTGCCACCTAGATCAAGCAAAAAGTTATAAGAAACAGTTATTCTAAACATATTATTTAAATTGCAAAAAAGTATATAAATGTCTTTAGATGGTTCGTTCTGCATGCTTATATGTAGGCTGTTTGACTTTTGGCTGTTCTAATATTTCAGCCTCTAGTGACTTGGCAATGAAACCTACCTGTATACACAGGACATTATCCAGTCAAAACAAAGACTCTGTGCAAAATTATAATACTACATTCGGCATCACCTGTTCTTGAGCCAAACGGGACAGTTTGCGGAGGAATGAGCCGAAGATAGCCCCTGCTCCCACCAGACAGGGGAGGACGACCACTGTCAGACCTGTGAGTTTGGGGGAGATGATATAGAGAGAGACGAAGCATCCAACTGTCTGTGTAATACTCCGAAGACCCTGCAAATATGCAAAATAATTTAGAAGCCTAAACTGTAAAGAATATATATTATTCTACAACATAAAATATAGCACTTTATACCTGAGAAATGACCAACTTGAAGGATGACTTGAACTCCTGAATGTCAGCAGTTAAACGGTTCACCAGCAGCCCGGTTTTATTGGCATCAAAGAAAGCCACATCTTGTCTGAGACAAAAAAAATAACACAGGCAAAGTTATAAGGCTTCTCCGGAAGTTAGCTTCATAGAGGGCTATTAGCACAACATGAAAGCATCCTGTAAGGTGCCTATTGACTCTTTTTTATCCATGTATTATTTTGCTAGGGTATGTACCTCAATAAGGATGCAAAAAGGGTCTTCCTCATGTCTGCTGCCACTCTCTCCCCCACTCTTGAAAGCAGGATGATGTAGCCACTTGTCAGCAGGCCCTGCACAAAGAAGGTAATTAATGACCAGAGCAACAGTGTATTTACCGATGTGACATTTATGAGTTTTCATGCACATTTTCTTCACAGTGAATGTAAGTTGAACTGATCATGTTAGGGTAGGGTAACAAGCATCAAAGCATCTAACAAAAGATGTACAGTTTCAAAACATTTTAATCTGAAAGCCAAACCAAATGGTTAGGATTATTCAAAACACCAAAAGTTTCACTTCATAATGTAATCCAAAACAACAACACACAAAGGACTGGCATAGTCAATTGTGCAGCTGTTTAGAGCATTGACAGATTTGTTGTGTACTTACTTGGATACCATACAGTCCAAGTAATTTCAGCGCAGGGCCTCTCATCTCTTGGACATAATTCCCAGTCTGTTCTCTCAGATAACATGCTACAACGTTCACCAGATTCCCAAGCATCAAAGGGATTTGAATATTCAAGATAGCTGCAGCAAAAGCAAGCTGAAAAAAATAAAAATAAAACTGTAGGTGATCAGTGTAAATGAAAGATCATATGTAAAGTTTATGTCACGTCACACTTTATTTTAAAAACACTGACATTGCATTTAAAATAAGTGATTGGAGCCTACCACAACAGCACCCATGAGAGGAAATAGCTGAGGTTTGACAAACTCCCAAAAGATATGCCATTTGAACTCTGGTGCAGGTGTTTTGGTCGTAACTTCCAGAGGAGTGTTGTTATTCACATCTGCCTCGCAGTGAGCCACATGGCAGAACAGCCGTGCGGAGACAGTGAGGACTGCTGGTCCCAGGATGAACCTCAGGGCCACTCCAGGGGGTTTGGACGTTCGGGTGCTGGACTGGCGGATAGCTCTCTGTGTGAGGCCCCAAATACGAGTGACAGTATTTCCAGGCTGCTGTGAGGAGCTGCAGGCTGGGGATCGTAGAGATGTGTACCATCTGGATAACAAAACATATTATGAATACAATTTGCCATTCAATAACCTGTACTGAAAGTAGTTTAAGACTAATGTAATAAAGTATATATACTATACTTTAAGGAAATAGCAATTTAAAGAAACTGAATTATGTCTGCAACTTGCAATAATGATTTATTAATGTAAAACCCTATGAGTAATCATTAATTCACTGTTTTTCTATCCTACAGTGTTATCAAATTAAGAAGAACATGATGATCACAGTGATGAATAATTATTTCCATAAACATTGGCCTGTGAGTATTGTGATTATATCCTCAAATGTTTGTTGAGTTTGTACATGTTTTACTTTGTAAAGATTGCAAATAGTGAATCCCAACTTTTGAGAAGCTGGAGCATGCATTTGTTTGTCATTTCTCTCTTTGGAAAAAGATTGATTGAGCCCAAATATTTACAGAAGTCAATCCCAAATACGTTAACCCATGTCTGTGTTAACAGTTGAAAAGACAAATGTAACTAATACATTGAACTTGAGGTTGATTCATATTCTGTATTTGAAAACAAACTAATACAATCATACATCCCACTGAAGCTTTCTATAAATATATGAACACTTGAGTAAAGCAGCTAAATGAACATGCACTGTCTCTAGAAAATCAAAGTATGCCACGCTCGTCAGTAATGACTAACTAACACATAGCAGCCACAGGTCAGCTGTAAACTACGCGAGTACAGGTTATATTACCCTACCGTGAAACTTTCCATAGATCTGCTCCTTTATTGCATCGAGGGTGTAACGACAATGACCGCACCGGAGCAGCGATGCTTGCTCTACAGCAGAGTATCTGAAACATGATGTATGCTTATTTCAGTGATAACAAGCAGACAAGTTTAAATGATCTTTAAGCTCTACTGTAATCCACAGGCACCATGTAGGCTGCCATGTTGACCATGACCCAGAGTGCATTTCTGCAGCTACGGATGACTTCATTTTATGTGAATATTACGAAATGGCGAACATTTTAATCTTAATTTCACATCAAACAACAAAGTGTAAGATTTAAAGCGAGTTAGTCCACATTTTTGAACAGAGACACGACAAAATAGCAGACTTTATACGGGAAAACACGAAAAAACTACAACTCATACCCGGAAATGACGTCCCGAGAAACAGAAGTGACGTCAATAGCGTTTTGTTGACATTTGTTTTGTGAAAGACAAAAACAGTGGACACTCACTGACTGGATGGTGTATTTTTGGAAACCAGCTAACGAAACTCGCAACTGACTGGACAGCACCGTGTTGTGATTTGAACACAGTGTACGAAACGAGCTCTGGGGAAGAGTGGACTGAAATCAAAGAAGATTTCAACACCAGCAGTTAGAAGTCGGGAACAAAACAAACCGATGGACTGCATGAGGGGCTGAATCATTCACAGGCTAACCAGACAGCAGACAGTGGAGTTAGGTTGTTATCTTAACACGACTATAAGTAACATTTATATCTGCTGAATATTCGTTTACTTGACTCTTAACTACCACTCAGTATTTCTCTCGTTACCATGGTCGTGTAGTTACACAAGCGTTGACCGCCGGAGTATCAAGTTAGCAAGCTAGTGGCTAGCTGTAGCTATCGTTGCCATTACTTGAACTGCTTCAGCTGCTAGCAACATAATGTAGCTGAGGTTACAAGACTACATTCGTATCATACTATAAGTAGCTTTTGAGTTAGGGGTAAGCTCAAGAATGTGAAGAACAATGGCCAACTTTGAAGCTTACCAGGAATATCAGAGAATTGAAGACTTTGAGGAGGACTCGCCACCAGGGGAGGAGGAGGATTTACTGGTGCATGTGCCCGAAGGCCTAAAAGGTAAACATGTTATTACATCTAAAATATTACGTATCTTTGAACAAATGACTAACTGCTTATTCAGATTAATTGCATAGTTTATTATTCGATCCCCATTAGCTGTGCCCTAAAGCACAGCTAACGTTATTCGTCCTGGGATTCACATTTAAATACACACAAAACCAGAGGTGGGAGAAGTACTCAGATCCTGTACCTTAGTACAAGTAAAAGTACCAGAGTGAAGGAATAATCATTACAAGTAAAAGTCCTGCATTCAAAATGTTACTCAAGTAAAAGTACAAAAGTATTAGCATCAAAATAAAGTACCAAAAGTAAAAGGGCTCTTTATGTAGTTTGGGCAATTTTAGAATAATATTCATTGTTTTGATTATAATTATTAATGCATTAGAGTGTTATCAAAGCTGGTAAAGGTGCAGCTAGGTTTAATTGTATACTGCATGGTAGCTAGTTAATGTTACCCCAGGTGTAACAAAGCCTTATTTAAGTGTTGATTATATTTCACATCATTAATAGAGCAAACGTACAGGATTTACCCCTGACTTGTAGTGGAGTAGAAGTACAAAGTATCAAAACTCTTACTTGACACCACTGTACAAAACACATTACAGTCTACAAAAATCAACCCATTTAAAAACCCATTTTCAACAGTGTAGTCGACACACATGACAAGCATAAGACATATTAGATAATAACATGAATATACTTAAAACCTTACACTGATGTCTCTCAATATACTTCCCAGCAATAGCATAGCATCCTACATATGAAGTCCCAAGCTGTGAGCTTATTTGCTTTTTAAACACTTTTTTTGTGAACATTTAGTCAATAAGAAATACTATTTCATTGTCCTATTATATACTACTGTGTATTTTAGAAAAAAGCCTTCTGTTGCCTCTCTGGTAGAAATGTATATCATTTTAAATAGTGACATTCTTGTACCTAATACATTTGTATTACAAAATAAATAAAAATGCAACTTCTGGGTGAAACTGCTAATGCTTTCATTTATGTTACAGACTCATGGCACCATATCAAGAACCTGGATAACTTCTTCAAAAGGATATCCTTTTTAATGACAGTTTTGTTTAATAGATGGTTTTCCAAAGGGCTCTGTCATTGCATGTGTCACTGGCATTGCATCATGCTGACACATGGTGTTTACTTCTTCCCTTGCGAGGGTATCTATGTTGCCTGGGTCCTATGTTCCCCAGTTTAATATCCTCCTAATATGACACATTTATCAAACCTACGCCTTGAAATTGGCGTCCAAGATGCTTTCTTTTATGTTATTAGCTCATGTTACTTCACATTTTTTCTTAACCTTCCCTTCCACATCTATCATTTCCATCAGAAGAATGGCTTCGCTTGTATGATGTTGTCAGAGTTCTTTGAACTTATGTAAGTATCAAGTAGTACAAAATGCTGAGAGTTCATCATGAGATACTGTGTTCAATTTTAAGCATTAGTTTGGGTTTTCAGTTCAGTTTCAGTTCGACTTAGTCCCTGTTTATGTGAGTGGTAATAATTTATGTTGTGCCTCAGGCTTCAGCATGAACAAGTTCAGCCGGATGATTTCCACAGCAGCTGTACTTAGAAGCTCATGTGAAATACATTCTTCACACCAAACAAAAACATCTTATTATTACATCTTGGTGATTGCTTTATTCACTATTTACTTTACTACTTTTACTCACTCGACTCTTATTTAAACTGCTTGAGTTTATAGCTGAGGTCACAAGAGTGTAATAATAAATATACAGGGTTTACTTTAAGTAACTCATTGGTTTGTGAAATCTTTTCTCATAACCACAACCAAAACAAAGCCTGTAAACATATTACATAACGGAACTGCAAATGAACGGTCTTATCTGCACTTCTACATTTATCACTTCTCAGTATTTACAGAGTGCATGATAGTTAGAAATGAAATATAGTCACTTATCTCAGTAATGGCTCATAAAATGAATCTCTTTTGCCAAGGTTATTACTTTTGGGTTGCTTGTTTGTTTGTTCTACAGTCATTAGGTAGGATTCCTAATCTCTTTTTCCCGTTTCATCTCTTCCTAACAGTCAGTTTTTGTTTGTTGTCATATTCACAACGTTTCTTGTCAACTGTGTGGAGTATGACGTCCTGTTTGCCAATCGAGCGGTCAACCACACCGGGCAGGGCCAGAACCCCTTGGACAGGAACAAGGTCACTCTTCCTGACGCCATCCTCCCCAGTGAGCAGTGCACTGAAAGGTAATCATTTTTAATACTGTGTTTCACAGTACTTTATAATTAGTTTAAAATGTATTTTTTCCTTTGGGGGCAAAATGAGTTAGAAGTCAAGGTGAATTAACTAAAAGACTTAACAGTGACATAAAAGGATGTGGCCGTTCTCTCATTCGAGCCAGTTTGATTAGCTGCTTTGTTCTCCAGCAGACATGGGCTTGGATATTATTAGAGCCCTTTTAGAGACAGGCCTTTAGAGGGATTACATTTGTCTGGCTTAATTCAGTAATGATCAGACTTCCAGTCTTCATTTCTATTGGAGTAGTTCAGATGTGGCTTCACACTGCAATGTACAGTTACATCCATAAGACGGGAGCCTTTTAAGCCGTTCCCCTTGGATTTATTTTTTAACCCCCAAAAATCACGAGAACTCTTTTTTTATTTAGAAATGGGAGGAAATGCCTCTTAAAGTGTAGACACTAAGCAATGATCTTAGGAGAAACAGTGTTTTTATGTTTCTACTACTCAGTTATAAATTGAGTATTTATGGTTTTTTATCTTACACTGTTGCCTCATAAAAGGTAATCTATCGAAAAAAATGTTTAATGTGAACAAACTGTCTTTTATATTGTGTGTTATGCTGTTAAAGACATCTGAAAACATATTGAAGCTATTCATTCATGTTGAAAAAAGGTCTTAATGCCGGTGGTAATAGCAGATTACAATAAAGCATTACATATTAGGTTGTTCTTAAACGGTCAATAAAAAGCACCAAGTTTGACAAGATTACATTTGATATTTGATTTGTGACTTCGCTTTCTATGAAATGTTTTTCTTTCTAAGTGTCGTTGTTTATTTGAACCTGAGATTGCTAGCTTCGAGTTACAACACTCCTGCCCTGACAGTTACTTGGAGGAAGGTATTTGTGTTCTGTGTTTAGACTTTAGGGAACAGGACCACGTAATTGATAGCTCTGGCGAGGCAAAACTTTCCAGCAGAGATACTGACAACTCGCCGGGACCAACAAGCTGACTACCACATGACACCTCACTAGCCCCCCCCCCCCCCCCCCCCCCCCCAACTCCAACCCCAATCCCATGTTGTCATATTTTTTCCAAGATGTAGCCTTCCATCTGTGTTTTTTCTCAAGCTTGTCTAATAGGCCCCTCATTAATTTGTTCCTGATTCTGTCTGTGGCTGTATACTAATTTGTAATGAAGTCAGTGACGTACAACACCCTGGAGATCTATTTGGGAACAGTGTGTTCTACAGTGAGGAACCTATCTGTCCTCCTCATATCCTTCTTAAGTTCTCTAATTACCTTTTAAAGGCAAGATGCTGGTCGCGAAAACATTTGTTTATTATATCTGAATGTGACCTATTATACATTTCTTCTTGAATTCTTGTAGACTTATTTGTTTTAGACACAGGCTGCCTTTCCACAACCTGTAAACACTGGTTGCAGTTTGATACATATGTAAAATACCCTACATTAAAGCAGCAGGTCTAATACATTTTTGTATCTGTTCATCATATTATAAGTTAAATATTGCGTAAAGGATCAATTTACATTGTCATATGAGGAGAGGACCTGATATGTTTTTCCCTGAGTTCTCAGTAAATGTTTTTTCTGAATCCCAGTTTTCAAATTAGCCCCAGCCGTAACTTTCTCCCGATATTTTTAGACTTTTTTCCACCTGCTATCTTTCCATGCCCTTCCCAATATTGTGCAAGCATTATGGCTCTTTCTGCAAATGTCCTGACATTTTAAAATACAGCTATAACTAAAGTTTAATCCCTTTCTGAATGACACAATTCCATTGTTTTAACAGATAAATAAAGCCAGCCATGTCTGAAAGTATCTTTCTTTTTGTTATCCAGGATTCAAGAGAACAGTTGGCTTATATTCCTTCTCATCATGGCAGCCATCTTCTGGCTCTATCGACTTGTTAAAGTATTTTGCAATGTTATGAGCTACTGGGAGATCAGGCAGTTCTACATCAAAGCCCTGAAGATCAGAATGGTAAGTGCTACACCTAGAGACCTTATCAAATGTATTAATGTTGACAATAATAAAGCCATGAAACCATTGTCTCTGTAGTACTAGTTAGCTTACTTTCTCCTCCCTCCTCTCTCAGGATGAACTATGCAACTTCACATGGCAGGAAGTGCAGGACCGTCTCATCAGCCTGCAGAGAGAACAGCAGATGTGCATACACAAGAAGGAGCTGACAGAACTGGACATCTATCACCGCATCTTGAGGTTCAAGAACTACATGGTGGCCATGATAAACAAGTCTCTGCTGCCAGTGCAGCTGCAGCTCCCCCTGCTGGGCAACGTGGTGTTCCTCACCCAGGGACTCAAGTACAACTTTGAGCTCATCCTCTTCTGGGGCCCTGGCTCTCTGTTTCAGAACAAGTGGAACCTGCACCCCAAGTACAAGCGCAACGGGAACCGGCTGGAGCTGGCGCAGCAGCTCAGCAGAGTCATCCTGCTCATGGGTCTGGCCAATCTGCTGCTGTGCCCCTTCATCCTGGTGTGGCAGGTGCTCTACGCTTTCTTCAGCTACACCGAAGTGATCCGCAGAGAGCCGGGGAGCCTGGGTGCGCGCCGCTGGTCCCTGTACGGCCATTTATACCTGCGTCACTTCAATGAGTTGGACCACGAGCTGCACGGACGTTTAGGCCGCGGCTACAAGCCCACGTCCAAATACATGAACTCCTTTACGTCACCGGTGCTGACGGTGCTCGCTAAGAACTTTGCCTTCTTCTCAGGCTCAATTTTAGCTGTGCTCATTGCACTGACAGTCTATGATGAAGATGTCCTGACAGTGCAGCACATCCTCACCGCCATCACAGTGCTTGGAGTGGTCATCACCATCGCCAGGTGAGCTTTCAGAGACAGGTTTGATTTACCTGGTGCCAACTCGGTGTTAAATCTTGCTGTTTATTAAGGTTAAAGACCTTATTTTAATTGTAATAAAAAATTACAATAATGACTAATGCAACAGCGAAATAGTTGTAGAAGCAACATTTGGGAAAATCTGTGTTGAAGTAGCTTTTAAATAAAGTATTGTTTTGCTGCTGAGTCCTGGCCTGCAAATCATATTCTACAGACTTAAAGTGGACCTATCATGCTATATTTGAATAATATAGTGTAGGACCATACCTATATAAGGCATATTTATACTTTTTTTTCCTTCAAAATACCAAACAGATCATGCATTTTAGCCATGCCTCATTTTGCTCAATTTTACATTTTTTAGCTCTGTTTTTGCAAGGGCTGATTCTGTGAGAACAGCACCATCTACTGGCCTGGCATATGTACTACAGCGTCTCCAGCGCTTTTGAACGGCAATGGCCGTGGCTGTCTCCTCCTGATTGGTCGTCAGGACAGTGTTCAAATCTGGATCAGTTTTTATCAGATCCGTTGCAGCCCCTTTTTTAGAGATTTGGGTATGGAGGAAAATAGAGAGGGTTGTGTTTTCTGACACTTGGTGAGTTCCCTGGAACACCGGGGACACATATTCATGTATAAAAGACGTACAAAAGTGCATTTTGCATGATAGGTCCCCTTTAAGAAAAAAATATGCCTGTTGCAGATCCTTGCAAAAAAAAAAATATCGTGATACCAGGATAATTTAATATATTTAACATAATGAAAAGGGAAGTAATGATAAGTGAACATCGCTCATGTATTGTGAATGATATCGTAATGTCATACTCATTCAAAAATATTGCAATTAGGTATTTTGACCTCATTATTCAGCCCTACTGTTTATATTATAATCTACACATCTATATACTATGATTAATGATACTTTTGTTTATACAGTTTGAGTTATCAATTCCTTTTCGATGTATTCCATTGGTGTTCTGAAGTTTCTTTCCAGTTATTGAGTGAAGTTATAGTGAAAAGTAAACTGTACGCTTCATCGTCCCTCACTCACTCGTGTTTATGGGAATGCTTTAAGTGCATCCATTCCTCCTAATCACTAACAGATTGTTCTGCCACAAATCAATTTAAACATTATAAAACGATTTCATTTTAGAGATGATAGTGAACATATTTTGTCCATATCCTCCTCCAGGTCCTTCATCCCAGATGAGCATATGGTGTGGTGTCCAGAGCAGCTGCTGCAGTGCATGCTGGCACACATTCACTACATGCCGGACCACTGGAGGGGACATGCTAACAAGAGCGAGACCCGCGACGAGGTGGCGCAGCTGTTCCAGTACAAAGCGGTGAGGAATCGAGGAACCGAGTGGATAGGAACACATTTGTTACATTTTAAATCAGAGTTATGGATGATGGAGGATTTTAGTTTGGATTGATGACATTTGTTATATGAAGCACCTGGTCAATAATGAGACTTTGTCAGACTAGATACAGTCTGTTAGCCTTCACAGGATTTATTGATGGGTTTCTGGGAAGTTTTGACATTCATCTGATTATGTAAAGGGGTTGAACGTATTTAAAATGTGACTCATTATTTCTGTGATTCAATCAGGTGTTCATCTTGGAGGAGTTGCTCAGTCCCATTGTCACACCCTTCATTCTCATCTTCCACCTGAGGAACAAATCTCTAGAGATCATCGACTTCTTCAGGAACTTCACTGTGGATGTCGTTGGAGTCGGAGACATCTGCTCCTTTGCGCAGATGGACATCAGGCGCCATGGAAACCCAACAGTAAGATTTGCTATTTTAGCTTTTCTCAAACTGGGAATGTATATAGTTTTTTGTATTAGTCAATTTATTGAACATGTTAAAAACAAAACAAATAATAATAATAACAAAAGAGAAGCAAAATAAAAAAGCTGTACAAATAAAAAATACATTCTCAAATAGTTTCCTTCATGTTCAAAAGGGGCTAGAAAAAGCTTAAAAACTTTTCTGGTCCTATCCACTGGCATACATTGTTCATGAAAATAAAAGTTCAGGTCATCCTCATCAGCATCCGTGATATTTGATTCATTGTTTTAAACAAATCACTCCTTTGTGCAAAACAAACAAAAACAAATCATCTTTACAGATAAACCAAAACTGTCAACGACAAGAAATAACAAGCATAAATTCACAGGTACTGCTCTTAATGTTGGTGAATGAATTTACATTTCTAAATGTTTTTGCAGTGGATGTCCCATGGCCAGACGGAGGCGTCCATATACCAACAAGCTGAAAACGGAAAGACAGAGTTGTCTCTCATGCATTTCACCATCAAGAACCCCCGCTGGCAGCCGCCTCAGGAGAGCTCAGTGTTCATCAGCCATCTGAAGGAGAAGGTGCACCACGACGCTCAGGGCGGCCCCTCCACCCAGCTGCTGCTCTCTGAGGCCCCGCTCTGCACCTCGCTGCAGTTCAACGGCTCCGGCGCTGCGGTAGGAACCTTGATGTTACAATAAATATGAATTGCCTCAGAATGTTTAAATAATTCAAGAGTAGAATTCTCTACATTAAAGGTCACCTATTATGCAAAATCCACTTTTTCATGTCTTTTATATATAAACACGTGTCCCCTCTGTGTGAAGAGATTCTGAAAGTTTCAGGAAAAAAGATTTGCTCTCTTTTTGTCCTGATCCATTTATATAAAAACCTGTCTGAAAATGAGCTGATCAGATTTTGACCACTTTATGATTGTGTAACCATTAGCCAAAAACCAACCAATGTAACTATTATCACCTGAATTTCCTCGTAGAGTACCGTTGTGTGTTTTTTTTTTAACTCAATGTCTCACAGAGGGGCGTTGGGAGTGGCTCCTTATTTTCATCTAAAGTAACAGACAGAGAATCAGCACTTTTGAAACAGGACTGAAACAGAGGGGATTATGGGATGCTACAATGCACGATTTGTTTGGTGTTTCGAGCCAAACACTTCAGAGACATGTTTTGTATATATCTGAGACCTATACTAAAGTCATGAAAAACAGTGTAATAGAGGACTTTTAACTAATGATCCATAAAGTATATTTCTAAATGTCAATCTCTTACCTTTTCTATTGCAATGTAATCTTGTTTACTTAGGGACTCTTTATTGACATGTGTGGTTTTTTTCCAGCCTGATAATCTGCTGGCCAGTGTCTTGGCTCACCCTGTTCTAACTGCGTCTGGACTACAAGGGCGAGACCACCGCTTCATCCCCCCCAGCACCGCTGCTTCTGCCGCTGCCAGTGTCCTGGCCTCTCTGTCCACCTCCCAGCTCCCCCACACCAGCCGCAGCCGCTCCCACAGCCTCCTGAACTCTTCCGTCCAACCCGAGACCATGTACCGCAGCGACCGCACCATCATTGACAGGTATTACGTACTGCATCATCACACGCCGTAGCTATAATAGTGTTTGGTGAAATCAATTTATAAATGCAAATGCTTGTTTTGAACTTTGATTAACATGTTTGTTTTTTTCAGTATGTCTAACAGTGACATCCGGGGCAATACTCTGAACTCAGAGTTTGCCTCAGCAGAGATGAGTCTCCATGCCATCTACATGCACGAGGTAATTTCCTGTCTCCAAGCTCTACAGTTGACCTTTCCTCTGTTGTGTGTCTGGAGTGTAATGTGATACTCTGCTTGAATTACAATGATCCAAACATTGACCAGGTTTTGCAGTGAAAAAAATTGCACTTCTCAAGTCTACAGGTGTCATATGTTTGGTATTTAAAATATTCATTTCAGCTAGAGAAACATTTTCTGCTGCTCATTGAAAACGATTTGTCTCTCCAGCTCCACCAGCAGAGCTCCCACCCACAGAGAGCTTCAGGGCAGTGGCAGAACCCAGTGCCAATGAGAGATCTGCACACTAACAGTGGTAAATGAAAACCTTGTTTTACGAAGAACTTGCAACCTGCAAAATACTTTATACAGCACTTTAGCGGAAAGGAAAGTTAGAAATTATTTTCCGTGTTCAGCTCTGTTTTTCAATATTTGTTCAATATTAACATTGAGTTTAAAGACTTTAATGTGTAATGGAAAAGAGATTGACCTGAATCTGCAGCACTTAATTACACACTCCAAACAGAGCATCAACTACAGAGGCATACATGACTTTAGAATCAATTACACTAGACTTTTACAAGCAATTATCTTTGCTTTTATATTGGTAAAACACACTTCATTGTAATGCAGTACAGAAACAAACATGTACTCATCTTGGCATGAGTACAAACACGATACTCTGCAAGTTAGTTAGTTCAGAAATTACATTTAAAAAAGCAAAGTGTATATAGGATGAATGCAATTTGTAGAAAATTGGCATAAATTATGCATAATATATTATATTTTTGGTTGACCCACAGACATAAGCTGTGTGTAAATTAGCCAGGTCTAATTGGACTATGCTTAAGAATGACTCTGACTTTTTTTATCAACGCTTTTTTCAGGTTTCCAGTCACAAAGCGGTCTCGGTTCCAGCCTCTCGATGCCCACCACTGTCCACCTTGGAGGCTGGCAGGAGGAGGAAGAGGAGAATGAAGATGATCAGGAGATAAACAGTGGATCTACTCCAAAACAGGGCACTGGGAGTAGTAGTTGAGTGCCTTAGGTCATAAGGTATACGTTCTCTTTAAACTCTGTAATATGACACAAGTCTACGATCTATGCTTTGTGGTTCTTTACCCTGTGTGTTAGTCGAACCTTTACAATGGCCTTTTATCCTAGAAGGGATACATTGCCATGATAATTTCTCCTCTTTATTGTTTTTATAGTGTTTACAGTTTTACTTTCTTCTATGAACATTGTGGCCTTAGATGATCTTCATGGAGAGTTTAGCATGGACCTTTAAAACATCATTCAGCGTTTGTTATGAGAGGAGATCATTGAATAACCACTGTCTCTGCACCTCCACGCCTCATCCTGTCACATCAGGCAGACTATGGCATCAGGGAAACCATATGTCTTCCGTCCGGTCCGATCCATCTCGATTCTTGTTGTAAACTTGTACAGACAAACTATGTCAAATGACAGAGAGACGATATGGTGTATTCAAAGGATCACTGTGTGAAAAAAAGAAGCGCAAAATGCTCATCGCCACTTCTGACGAGCCTCAAAGTATTTGTGCATCACAAAGATTAACAGCGCCAGTCTATTTGAATTCTCTCAGAGTGATCTTCTGTCTTACCTAGACTGCAAACTGTATCATAGCCGCCTGAACAATATCGATCACCTGTAAGAGAATTCAATATTTCATGTTGTGCTGTTTGACCCTGGTGATTTGTAAATACACGTTGTTGCTGACTTGTCCTTTTAAAAGACCACATCTTTACTACCCGAGCTAATCCTCAAAGATACCAAGTATTGATTTGATAAAGATAAACACATGTGTATCTGACAAACACATGCTTTGGTGCTGCTGGCTGTGTTTAACGGTCCTAAATACAGATTATACACAGTATTAATATTTCCACATCTGCTGTTTCTGGACACTACAAATTAAAAACAGGACTGAAATCACAGGTCTAAAATACACATGGCATCAAAATCCTAATGCAGATATAAGATGTCTATTTGAGCTGGACACAAAGCCAGCTTCATGCCTTACCACCCATATTAAAAAAAAAGTTTTCAGTATTACCTCAGTGGTGGTGAAGAAAAGATAATACCTCTGCAGTGAAATTATTCTTGTGTAAATATAAATACAGTACATATTGGGTGCTTTGCAGTGTGCATCTAATAACTGCATTTTGATTGTGATGGTGGGCATACATGGAATCATTTTCTCTTCTTATATCTCGCCCAGCAGAAGTCATTGAAATTGATGGCACCAGAAATTGAACAAAACAGGGTGGTATTGCTTTAACCAATCTGTGTTGTGCACATAACAAAAAAATGGAACTTCATCAAAAGGGCTGATTTTTAGATTGTGCGCTGTTGCTTCTGCAGCTTTAGGTCTGAAGATTTTAGGACAACAGCTCTCTCAGTGTTGGTTTTATTCTTTCAAAATAAGAGCATGAGGAGGAAAAGGACTTTCCACAGTCTGCATCATCTGTTAGATTTAGCTTTATTTATTACCTGTTACCCTCCCGGATATTTAATTCATGTTTGTGTATTATTTATTTGTAAAACCATTATTTAGATTTGTTTTGTGGAATCATTTTCTTTCACTTAACCTTTTTAATCAAATAAATGGCATGTTCCCACCAAAAAAGTAGTTAAAAAATCATTTGATGTCGAAATTCCACAAAAAAGTTTGTATTAATGCAAATATAACATGCCCATCCGCATGATTTTGAATGTGATTTAAACCTAAAATAAACTGGGACTAAATCTGCCTGTTGATGCAGTGCCCAAAAAGATATTTTTTACCCGTTTTTAATTGCATTTTGTTTTATAGATCAGAGTAACATAGATGTCATCCTGCACAACTGCAAGAGAGGGGTCAATTTGTCTTTGCCCTCTCTCGTATTTAGAAACTATTACACTTTCTCTGTGAGCGTGTCTGTGGAAGGAATGCGTTTTGGACACCTTCGTAATTATGCTAACATGAACTTTGCACTGACAGAAAATAAACATTTGTTTTTAAATGTGTGCGTGTATATATACAGTACTTGCATCAGTTACAGTTTGGAAAGGGCAGGTCTCAAAAGGGACACTTGAGTCAGTCTCCATCCGGAACGATCTCTTCTCGTTGTTTATACATAAACAACGCATCCCTGCTTGTTGTATTGTCGCAGTCCACAGCAAAACCACCTGGAAACACTGTGGCTTATCACATGAGGTCGTTCTTACCTCTGGTCAGTAAAAGTCCGCTCTGTAGGGGATGATGTGTGTCTCTGTCACGTTGTTAAATATACTCACATGGGTCATTTTCCATCGTGCAGTGCGTTGATGTTGTAGAGACACTGGAGCTCGGCTTCGTGCACAGAGTTGATTCCGTTTGACGGTCTCCACATTTACACCTCCCTGTTATGTTTGTCATTTTGTTTTAAGCAGTGCCTTAGTATTAAGGATTAGTATTTGCTCTTCATAGAAGCCATTACATGTAACCTATTGGATTTACTTTCGCAGATTTAGCAGCACATACTGTTTTGTTCACTCTTTTTGGCAAGTCATTGTGTATAGCATCAAGTATGTTGTGATGTTGTGGATGTGGCTTGTGAGATGAGTTGTAAACTGATCATGAGATCTTATGTCAGTCTGTTGTATCTGACAGCACACTTCTTCTTATCATGGTGTCTGAACTTGCACTGTCCTCAATATCCTAAAGAAGCAGGAAGTGTGCCTTGTAACTGTTGTCATCACGGCCCACCTCCTCACCTTACCCTGGGTTATCCACTAAAACACCAGTCGAACAACCACAGTGACTGGAACAAGGTGCTAAGTTTTCATCCTGAAATGTTGAATATGTTTTAAGACTTAGTTGTTGTGTTACTTAGGTTTGTTTGTTTTGTTCTGTAAATTAAGATACACTAGCTGAAAAATAAAACATGCCAAAAGAACTTGTCTTCGGCACAGCTTTACAATACATGTGCTGTTTCCCCCCCCCCCCGCGTGAGTAGAGAGGCAAATTAATCTAATTTTTGGTATTTAATCATTTCATGTGTGGTGGATTATGCCATGTTTATTTGAAATTAAAAAGTACATTTAAATTATGTCACTCTATTTATATTGCTGTTAGTATGCCTTGTTGGCTTCTGAGATTACAATGTGGGAGCTTCTCTCTTTAAGTCTTGGACATTTCTGACACCAATATATTAGTCTGTCGAAATTAATAAGTAGAGCCTGATAAGTCTGAGATGTCCTTATAATATGTGAGACTGTGCAGCGATAGATATAGACATCCAACTCAGTGACCCAAAAAAACTGAAGGATACTTAAAGCTTTGTGAAAGATTTGAAAATGTCTAATTTGGTTGACTCTTAGAGGTGGTATCACACTGTGGTAGAAAGCAATGCAAAGTGCTTTAAAGGTGGACAAAGTAAAAACACAGACAAAAAGATACACTGAAAAAAACAAGTGTACCTAATGACGAACATCTCAAGCAGAGATAGATTAAATTATATTTCATATTGTACATGTGTCTGATTTCTCTGTCTTATAAGTCATCAGCAGGTTTTGTTTTCATCTTTTGATCTCTTGCTCCACTCTGCTTTTACTCAAGATGCATATTATATTACGGGCTCAAAACTCTCTTAAAGGAAAACATATTATTTACAGACTTTGTGCATTTACATGTTTTAGTGTCTCCTTTGCTTTCTTCCCCTTCCTCCGCCCCTCTGTGTCTCATTACTGCAAATCTGCTACTCTCACTCTTGGCCTAATTGAAATTCTTTAGTCCAATCCATGTTGAGTGTGATTTTTAAAAATCTTTGTAAATTAGTTACATGTTTTTGTTTGGTTTTGTGGGTTAGAATGGTTAGGTTGATTTATGTTTGAAGTTTCTTTTTTTCTGCAGTGAAAGCTCATTGCCCTGTGTACCCCTGTTGTATTACTGGTACTCTGTCAATACTGTAAATAAACATTGTAAATAAACACCACACACCTCTATTTGAGATGCACTATTTTGTCTCTGTATCTATTCCTTTTTCTTGTATCCAGTTGGTTTAAATCATTTTTTCCCAATGTCCCCATTGACCATTTTAAGGACATGAAAGCCATCTGCTGTTCATTCTTGGCTTCACTCTGCCATTGCTGCGACATTTGACCCACTTGTTGCCTGCCATGTAAATGTTGTTTTGAGGATGTGTTTTGGCTGTGAACATGATACACCGTGACCTTTTTTCTCGATATGGCTAAGGGGTCAAGTGGAAGGCCATGTAGGTCAAATAGTGGCACCTAACGCTGGAAGCATTCTGTGAAAATGGTCTCATCACAAACACATTTTTAATGTGGGATTTTATGTAACTCTTTAGTTGCTGAACAGCAAAGCCAAGTTATATACAGTATATGTGTCTGTCTGCTGCCCTCTGCTGTATTGTAATCCAAGTGCCATCAGAGACTGAATACTGTCCAAGACTGATTAAAAGAAAAAACATTGTTTGATGCTATTTAAGGAAAAGTTCACCTCAAAATGAACAAATGTATATGAATTACTTTATGTATACTTGAACTCTTCAGCTCTGATTGTTTTTTTTCCTTTAGTGGCAAACAACCAGATTGTTTTCACATATTATTTTCTGACAGTTTAAGCAACAAAGATATTTTTTGTTAAGTTACTTCAGCTTTAACACACAAACTATATAAACATGTAATTTGTTTAAACTAGCACAAAACAACTCAAAGTTACATTTACCTAGTCGTATTCGAAAACTACTTCTCAAACACATGCATTTTCCCTTAAAACCTTACTGTTCAAAATGGTCTACATAAAATGGTGTATTCACTGTGGTGGCCATGCGTGAGTTTTCTTCACAAATCAAGGGGGTACCATTTTTCTTTGTGTGATTGAGCATCAAGAGTCATAGAAAGAGCAAAAACAGAGAAGAACAACAACTTGGGGTAAATTGACATATGAATTAATTTCAACATATTTTTCATATACTGTATATTACACTTTTGTGATCTTCTAATGTTTGAATGAATGTGAGACAGACGCAGATCAAAGAGTTTGCTTTCAATTTCTTATATTTTTTCTTTTTATCAGTAGACTTTCAGGAGCATGGAAACCAAACACAGAAGCCAGAACCGGATGAACCACAGGCAAGCAGCAACAGTGGATTACTGTCTGCTAGAGTTTCGGCGAGTTTAAATCAGGTCCAGGCGACCTGCTGCTGTCAGTCAATGGCACTGGGGGAAAGCCCACACGGGAAGACCAAGAAAATACCGTAGAGGCCAGAGAATAGGGAAGAAAGGGGTATGGCTGGCTATACCGCTTGTTTCTACACACTAGAAACATTAAATAGAACCCTGTCTATAAATATATGATAAAGTATAGCATGATAGAATTAAATGTCATTTAATGATTGCTATATAATACTGAATGGTGGTCATGGCAGATACTTGTAACGCTTTTGTTAAATATGAAGTCATACCTTATTTATGGAGCTGACCAGCTGGATGAAGCAGCTGTCATCACAGAGATTATGGTGGTGGCGGCGGAGTACAATTTGTTACACAGGGCAAGTTTAGTCACTTTACATTTGACCAAAGTGTTGCAGTAATGCCATGCTTCACTTAGAAACTTAAGAATTTACAACAGATAATCTACTACTGCTGAAAGCTTGTATGGTCATAGGGAAACAAGAGAACGACAACAAATACATCTTAAAAGAAGACACTGACATTTTAGGATGTTTTAGTTTGTCACTATCCACAGTCATGCTAGCAAACTGATACCAATTACATTTATATGTGTTTAGTGAATGAGAATAGTTATCATAATATAGCTGAACATTTGAAAACAAGGGAAACTATAAAAGTAGTATGGCAACTCCAAGAGTCACCTCTGTTTTGCTCGAGAACTCCAATGCTGAAGTTCACATTCAGCAACTTTTAATTACATTTAGATTTAATGTAGCTTATCCTCAAGCTCAGCATGCACTACACTCTGTGGTAAGATGATCCAATATCAGAAAATCAGATACAGAGGTGGCAAGAGGATGATTTGCAGGTCACACATTTGCACTTACAATAAAGCACGAGAGCATTTGCATTTCTTATATAATGTATTATTAATTATATATAATGTTTATACAATAATTATCGATTTTTTGTCTATTATAATTGTTTATTATTATTATTATTAAGAGTAGTAGTAATTTTAGCATGTTCAAATTAATATGTTATCTGTTTCTATTTTATGTTGGTAATATTAATCTGCCAAGTTAGTCTTTACTGAAGTTATGTGAAATAAATGGATTTAATACAAGCACCTTAAATTGGTTTTTAAGTAGCCTACAGTAGGCCTACTTGAAATTACATTTACTGAGTAACCTTCCTCCCCAGAAGCACAGTATCATATTTTGTTGTTGGTAAAATCTTACGTTGTAGTAATTTGAAGAAAGTCCAGCACAGCGTGTGTCTGTGTGAGTCTGTCTGTTGTTTGTGTGTGTGTGTCAGGGACGTGCACAGACATTTTGGGGGGCGGGTGCTCAAGTGAGAAAAAGGGCACTTCCCATAATCATTTATAAAAAAATGTTTTAAAACAAAAAGTTAAATATAGTTGCACATCTCTGACTTACTGACCAATTTATTTGAATACCCTCACTCTCACGTAATTGTTTAATACTCAACAGAATTCTACAACATAATCAGTTAACACAGAGACAATGGTCTTCTTTAGTAGGCCTATTCACAATGCACAAGAGCAGACAACAAACTAGTACAATTAATAGTTATTAAATGAGCAGCCAACAATCAAAATTATGAAGTTATTGTTTAAGGACATTACAGGCAAAAATATTGTTTTTTCATGTAGCCTACTTGTTATTTTGGTCTATTTTGCTTCCATGTTTTCTTTCACTCTAATGGAAATAAAACTTCCAAGAAACACATATAGGCTAAATGGTGTTCGTCTTACTAGCATGTCTGAATTCATCTATAGATTTAAAGCTAATCTGCATATTTAAACATAATATTTCAGGGGAAAATACTCACTTGACGTAAGTAACTATCTGGGGAAGTTGTGAGGTGGTGCAAATTAGCGCATTTTAATTAACGCCTAGTTAACGCCTAATTTGCATATCACTGTGGCGATTGTGATGACGTTATTAGATACACATTTTACTGTATTCACTTTAAGTGTCTCCTCTTAAGTACAGTACATTAGCCTGTATGCCCATGTACATTTTGACCCATGATTTATCTCCATCTCCAAAACACTCCAAAATAATGACCAAACAATCCTGTTGTAATTTAAAGGTTATGATGGAGTTAAAACAATGTTGGATGATAGTCATTATTTTGGAGTGTTTTGGAGATGGAGATAAATCATGGGTCAAAATTGACCCGCGAACACCATGAACGGTAACAGCTTTCGAACACAACACAATGAATATGACATGTTGTTCACACTGACTTTGATTGCTTACCATGTCACTGGACTCTAATCTTCAAAATGAATGTTTATTTTATGTGTGATAATGTACACAATGTTAGTATGGATAATATGTCACTTTATTTCTTTATTTCATTCAACATGTATTATTAATTACTGTGTGTATGTAAATGTGTTGGACAATTGCAGGACTAGCCCTCACTCCATATTTGTTTTATTTCTGACTCGGATGATAAACCAGGCCTGTCATAAAATGCACCCCCCCCCCAAAATATGTTTCTATTAATCCCACCCTCAAGCATTTTTCAGGGTATAGTTGTAGGACTAGTACCAATGAATGGAGCAAGTTTCATGTATGTGACCCTTTTATTTGGTAAGATAGCAAGGGGGGGCGTATTGTGATAACCAGGCCTGTCATAAAATGCACCCCACCCCAAAAGATGTTTGTATTAATCCCACCCTCAAGCATTTTTTAGGGTATAGTTGTAGGACTAGTACCAATAAATGGAGCAAGTTTCATGAATGTGACACTTTTATTTTGTAAGATATTAAGGGGGGGCATATTGTGATAACCAGGCCTGTCATAAAATGCACCCCACCCAAAAATATGTTTGTATTAATCCCACCCTCAAGCATTTTTTAGGGTATAGTTGTAGGACTAGTACCAATGAATGGAGCAAGTTTCATGAATGTGACACTTTTATTATGTAAGATAGCAAGGGGTGCATAACGTGGCAAAAATATGCTGACAAAGGCTATGTAACATTTGTAAACATATATTTTGATTATTATATGACAAATATGTAAAATTAAACAATACATTTTAAAGCACGTGTATACAGACAGGACATAACAATAATACAAAAAAAAAAGATTAAAAAAAAAAAAAAAACTGAAAAGGAAGTGACGAATGAATTTCGACACCACTACCATCAAATACGGAGCGAAAAGTGTAACCACAAGAATCAAGACTATATGAGCTACCACTAAACAACTCACAGTCTGAAAATGACCATTAATAAAAAACCTGAACGTTTACTTTTCGTTTTAAACATCGTTTTAAGGTGTAAACGTGTCATTTAGAAATGCGCGTTCCCGTGACAAGGGGGGCATTTCATGATGGGAGTGCATAATTTGACACAACACCGGCATAACATGGGACAGTAAAGTGGGAGGTGCTGCTACCTGTCTGTCTGCCGATGACTGTCCGCACCGCTGTGCAGGAGACGTGGAGGGAGGGAGGGAGGGTAGAGAGAGCATCGGAACTTCACAGTCTAATCTCCCGACCTGATATTTTAATGTTGTATTCAATCAATATATAATAAATATATAATAAAAAAAGGGGAGAAAAAGGGCAGGGGCTCAAGCCCACTTTGATGTCTATGTGTGCACGTGCCTGTGTGTGTGCACGTGCCTGTGCGTGTGTGTGTGTGTGTGCGTACATGCATTGGGAATGTCCAGTTTTTCCAGGTGGGGGTTGTGTTTGTTAATGAGCCTATAAAAGAGTGGATGTAATGTACTTAAGTAAGTCTACATTTAGCCTACTTTAGTAATGCAATTTGTTCATGTCTACCGGTTGTGCAGGTGTAAACTATTAGTAATATCCAGTGTTATGATAGTGTGCAGCCCAGCAGAGGCCAGCCTGCTCTACTTCCAGACTTCACCAACAGCAGCCTATCTCCTATCTCCTCAGTAAATGACAAGTCTATTTTGGAAAGGAGGCTGCGCCAAAGTAGGCACGTCAGCTATTTGGCATCATGAGGTTCCAGAGAAGAAAGAAAAAATAAGTTTAGTCAACCGCCCACCGCAGCAGACAGGGGGGATGTTCCCACCATACTGGATTTACAACCATTTCAAGGATATTTGAGCACAAAGAAGACATTTTTTTTAATTGGGACTTCTCAAAAACACTGATTCTGGAGTTGGCTATCATATGGAAATCTTGACGGAAAACTGAAGTTTTAGGCCACATGATTCAACGCCCGTTTTACCTGAGTGGCTGAAGACTCAAGGTGAAAAATTAATGTTAGGATAATAAAATGATGTGTACAAAAATAACACGTTGCATTAAGAATTATACAGAAGAATTTACCGAAGTTAGCAGTTTTTTCATTTATTTCACCTTCTTATTTGTACGTTATACTTTCACACATGTAAGGGTTAATTGCTAATTTGAGTTACTGTTAGGTATCCTAGCTTTAGCTTCCAGTTTCAGTTAATGTTAGCTACTTCATTTAACTGCGTGTGTGTTTCATTTGTCGTAGTTTATTAAGAAACCGTCAATTAAAGCATGGGAATACCTTGAAATGTTTTTAAAATAACGTTTTAGTTCGCTGTGAGAAATGTAGAATGTTTTTTAAGTGGTAGCTTTATCAAACAGCTGATATCCCTTTCGCTTCTACAAATGGCAATGGACAGAGACGGGGTCTGACAGCTGAGGTTATTTTTGGGAGAGGCAGTTCAAGCGATAGAGGTGACAAAGCTGGCAAATGTCACTCTTTGAAAGGCACATATCTGCTCTATTTGACCTTGTTACAGAGGAATTTATTTGTTGTTGTGCCGGTAAACTACATTCCTATTGTATAGGCTGCAAGCTATAAAGTCTTAGTATTAAATAATGTCTGCAGTGTCAGGAAAGGGTTGTTCTGACTGACACTTACTGTAACTGCCAGCCATAAATATGCCTATTTGGACTGTGGAGTTATGTCTATTTTCATAGCATAACATATTTATAGAGGAGCTACACTTAACACACATCTCACAATGGCTTTGGGTGTATTCCACATTGTTTATTTGTAATTTGGTGTGGAAAGAAAGTAATATAAAATAACTGACACAACATTTCAATGTGCATACAAAATATATGGTCTAGTTTGTTGCAGTTTTTATCTTTTTGGTTTTCCCTTGATATTTATCAATTTCAATCAGAAACTACAATGTTATCCACTATTCATACACTAAATAGTTATTTAAAAAGGACTTTGCTGTTGACAAAACTATGAAATGCTTTTTTTTCCAGCTATGAAATGTATTACAAGGATAACTGTGCAACTGAATGTGCATTAGTGGGACATAAAGGGTAATATCATGATGCACATAAATATGTGCAATATAAATATGGCAAATAAAGTACTCTTACACTACCTACAATTCAGATCTGATACTGTACATATTTACATTCTCCACATAGACTTCTTTTTGCACTTTTAGTTTCCCCTCTTTATATTTTAACTGCTGCAGGAATTCCCCTTAGTATACATTTAGTGATATCCTATCCTATTTTATTTTATATTGTCTTTTGTTCAACGTTTCATTTTATTTCTCGTAAGCCACTTCCTGGCTGGAACTGTATTGTAATGTTCAGCTTTTATTTGATTACAGGAACCAACAATGGATCAGAACTTGTTCGGAGGAGTCCCCAGGTTTCTCACCCGCCCAAAGGCATGCTCAGTGTGTGTAGGCAAAGACGCCACACTTAGCTGCACTATCGTGGGCAGCCCGACCCCGCTGATAAGCTGGGAGAAGGACAAGCTGAAGCTGACATCTGGGGGACGTTTCAAAACCGTGGAGGATGGAAATCTGTACCGCCTGACCATCTATGACTTAACACTGGAGGACAATGGCCAATTCATGTGCCGGGCCAAAAACACAGTTGGGGAGGCTTATGCTGCTGTTACCCTCAAAGTGGCCCTGCAAACAGAGATGGCTCAGAGGGCCCCTGTTTTCATGGTTAAGCCTACCTCTACACGTGTATGTTTGGGAGGCGATGTGGTTTTCCACTGCCGGGTTGCAGCCCACCCTGATCCCAACTTTGATTGGGAGAAAGATGGGCGCTACTTGGGCGAGTCAAATCGTATCAAGATTGTTTCCGACACCGACAGCAGCACCCTGAATATCCAAAGTGTGCGTAACCTGGACAGCGGCACCTACACCTGCAGGGCCCAGAACACCGTTGGTCGTTCACACTCTGCAGCAGCTCTCGTTGTAGATGCCCAGGATTCCCTCCATCTGTCCGCAGACAAGAACACCTCCTCTCTCCTCTCTCACCTACAAAAGCGCAAGGAGGAAATGAAGAAGGACATCTCTATCTATCGCACTGAAGAAAGCAGATCCTCTGGTTCCTCCTCCACCAAGACCAGCATCACAGATAGTTTGAGTTCTCTGAGTCAGGAACATGAGCTGAGGGCATCTGCGCTGGCAAAGCTGCCCAAAGGTGTGTTCACCCGTACCTGCACGGTGACTGAAGGCAAGCATGCCAAACTCAGCTGCTTTGTGACGGGTCATCCTAAACCCCACATCATCTGGAGGAAGGATGGATCAAACATCAGCGAGGGCCGCAGGCATGTCATTTATGAGGACCAAGCTGAGAACTTCATCCTCAAGGTCCTGTACTGCAAACAGACCGATAATGGTCTCTACACCTGCAATGCCACCAATATGGCTGGCCAGACCTACAGTGCTGTGTTGGTGACAGTCAAAGGTAAGATGGACATGTTTGCTGAATACAATACAGCCATGCATGTTTTACACATATTAGAGAAGAAAACTATTGCAGTTATGTTCATGAATTACATGCATATCTGTCAGCCAAATGCAGCATACTCCACACTAGGGTTACAGTAAATGCCTGGCATGATTTCATTGTTTTATTGATATTAACAATTACCATGAAAGCAAACATTATATTAGTCTGTTTCCTAATAATTTCCAACATCTATACCATAACTGCAGGACTCATTCATCTAAAAAAATGGATAATAAATGTATGCTATATAGTACAGCTGCACTCAAAAAGTCACCATCATTGAGTAGTCAATTTACAAAAAGGATAATTTGTTGATCATAAATGAATGCACAAATTGCAGAAAATTATGTTTTCAGCCTCTTAAAAATGAAGCTTTTATCTGTTTTGGACTGACAAAACAACACATTTAAAGACATCACCTTGGATTTTGAGAAACTAAAATAGACATGTTTTTATAGAACCAAAAATGTATTGACATATTAGGGAAATATTTTCAGATTAATCCAGATGAAATGCTGAAAAAAGCTGAAGCCCTACAATACAGCAAGTCATTTCTTAAAACAGCTTGGTACTGTACATTACTTAAACAGGAGTGAAAATACATTTGTAGGGGACTATTTTAAGCTTAACATTAATACACTTTTGGTGGTAGTATTCATCACAGCAGGATGGTGTATGTGGGATTTACTCAAAATAAACTAGACTACCTGTTTGTCTGCCACTGCAGCAAGTGGCTCATTTGTGTGTTTCTATTAGCAATACAAATAGAAGTACATGTCACTCAGGGATAAGCTATATGTTGAAAGGAAAAATCAATGTTGGTATCTGCACTACTCTAAGTGTGAATCATTTCACCAAAGCATAATTTACCCCTGAAAAGGTGTAGCTTTTTACAACAAGGTTGAAATCTGGCCCAGCCTCTTTGGGAGGGTGTTGTGTTGCATCTATTTTCTGCTGGTGATGAGTGGTTCACAGATGCTAAGATGTTCACTCACTCACTGGAGCACTTTGACACCGATGCTACTGAGAATCCCCTTGGGAAAAAATTGGCCCAATGGATGAAACTGTAGGATTATATATTTCTGTCGGCATGATCATTAATGAGGGCTGCCGCACTTATTTACCTGTTTATTGCTGGTGCAGAGGACTTCTGATGTTTGCAGGTTGTTAGTTTATAGGATTTAAAGGGGGACATTTAGGGGTTATACGTTTTAAGCTCTTCCATGACCATTAGAAAAAACACTCCTTTAAGAAAATAAAAGGGGAAAAAAATTCATTTTCTGTAACCTTTGATTTAATTACCACAATTATTATATTATTAACACTTAAATAATAAGAGGTCCTGGCAGAAATCCAGTCAGTTTTGGAAAGATAACTTCAATAAAAGTATTTATTTGGGACACTAAGACAGAAATACACAACTGTTAAGGGTTGTCAATGTTAAATATATAGTGTGCGTTGACAAGCCTGTAAAAAAATGATAAGCTAAGGGGTCAAAGAGCCAAACTATAACTCACAAAACTGTGATTTCCTCAACCTAATATTTTTTTAGTAAAAATAGTCATAGCTCATCTGTCCTTCGGCAGGAACGGAACAGGAAATATTGAAATGAATAACGTAAATGTTGCATTTATTTTATGTGGGTGCTTTGCGTGATTTGATGAACCCAGTGGACTTCATACATAACTCAAAGTGGAGTTCTATGTGTTTCAACACTTGATTGCTAACTTTAAACTGTTGGCGTAAACCCAAAGTATGGATATGGATACAGTTTGAACTCTAACCTCATTTGTAGAGCAGAGCAGAGTAAGAAAACCGAGCAGCATGGGAAACGTACAACATGTACCCTATAGCTTCCATTCAAATAGCGGGTGGAGTAAGCACATTAACCCTAGAAATAACATCTGAAATTGACATACTTTACTTATTGAGAGCATTTTCAAGGGTGTGCCAGAAGTAGCTAATTTCTTACATTCCAGACAACCCATTGTTTAACCGTCAAACCTTGACTTCAACAACCAAGGTTTAACAACTGACTATCAATAAGCTTTTATGTAATTGCTTTAGGGCTGTACCGACTAGTTTGAAGCCTCAAAGCTTAATTCATACCTTCATATTCTGAAAATCACCATTCAAATTTAGATTTTGTTCGAGGACTGTTTTTTTTTTAGGGTGAAAGAGTAATAAATATGAAACGACTACATACACTAACATCTTTATTTAAAAGCTTCAATAGAATATAAGTAACATTTGGTACAGCCCTACTTGCTATATTGTCATACATTTGTATCTACATTATCCTCTGTAAGAGCTTTTGACTATGTTGTAATGTTGTTTACAGGGACATCAACATTTGCCATATGGTTGGTTTTGAAGCACATCCTTTTTCTTATATTTGACATACTAACATGCAAAACCATAATTGTGGCTTTATAAGCTAAAGATTCCCTCCTTGTTTTTCATTGTGCCAGAGCCTAAGGTGCCATTCAGGAGGAAGCTGCAGGATGTGGAGGTGCAGGAGAAGACGTCAGCCACCCTGCTGTGTGAGGTGCCTGTTAGTGCCACCCAGGCCAGCTGGTTCATGGAGGAGACGAAGCTGGATCAAAGCACCAAATATTACATGGAGCAGGAAGGCACCCTGCTTCGCCTCACCATTCACAACGTCACCACCAACGACGATGGTGTTTATATCTGCGAGATGAAGGAAGGCAGCCGCACTGTGGCTGAGCTCACCGTCCTGGGTATGGGGGAGACTTTTTAATGTCTTTATTTCTTGTTAGCTGTTTTGTGCAGGCAATACAATTGACAAGAGTCAATTATATGTCCGTAAAATGCTGTTGAGTTTGGAAACTAAGAACAGCTAGTCAATTTGTCTAGAATTCTACTGAATGTGTGTCTTACTGTCCACTTACTTTCATATCCCAGGCAATATTACTAAGAAGCTTCCCCGGAGGACAGTGGTCCCTGTCAGCGACACTGTCATCTTCTGTGTGGAGCTGGAGCGTCCTTTCCCAGATGTCTACTGGACCCGCAATGGCGTGAAGCTGAAGGGAGATTCCCGTATCGCAATCGCCTGCGTGCTCAGACAGTACACACTCACTATTAGAGATTGCCAGGCTGATGACTCAGGAGAAGTGGCCTTCGTGGCGGGAGACTGCAAAACTTCCACACGATTCTCTGTCACTGGTAAGCAAGACCATATTTTATTTTATTTATTGTATTTATTCTGATCTTGGATTTGCCCCCTTTACATTTAGTTAAAATTGACTTTAGAGCAGGTCATGTCTTTGATGCCCAGTACAAAAGACTTCAAACATTAAATTATTGAAACTGACATGAATAATTGCTAAATATAAAAGTTCAACAAGACGGTCAAAAAGAAAGGAAATTGAGTTTTGATATAATCTTTCTTTAGATTAGCCACAAGCTACAAAACTCATCAGATCATATAAACAGCTTGATCATTTCTCTTTCTGCTCCAGCTGCTAGGAAGCATCCTCCCGATCCCCCAGTCGATGCAGTGGTTGCGAACAAGACTGACTCATCCATCACCATCCAGTGGTCTCCTCCGGACAGCGACCGCCCCGTGCCCATCAAGTGCTACTTTGTGGAGAGGAGGAAGGTTGGCACTCAGACATGGCAGCGGTGCAACTCTGGAGAAACCATCCTTTCTACCGAGATCACCGTCTGCAGCTTCAAAGAAGAAGCCACCTACCAGTTCCGTATCTCTGCCATGAATGACTTTGGCCAGAGTGATTACCTGGAGGTGCCTGGAAGCTTCTACCTAGGTAAGACTGAGTTTTTATGAATTCTGCTGTTTTTGTAAACAATTAGTTGTTTTGTTCACATGTCTGGTTCTTCTGTTGTCTCCAGAACCCAGTGCTGAAATCAGGAAAGGCCTGATGAACAGCACTGCCTTCTTCAGTGAGGAGTTCTCCATCTCCGTGGAGCTGTCAGCTGTTTGTTCTGCCTTCTGGTCTCTGAATGGCCGCCTCCTGCGCAGTGGAGGCGACTACCTCATCACCAGGATCAAGAACACACACACTCTGCTCATCCGTAACGTGACCATGGAAATGAACGGGACTGAGGTCAAGTTTGTGGGTGGAGGCTCACAAAGCAGTTGCATCCTGTCTGTGCAGGGTAAGTAGTCAGAAAAGTGCTCTAAATCTAAATAAATATAGTATAGAGTCATTTTTCTTCAGTCAACTGTTCTTAACTTTGTTGAATTGAATGCCATTGGCAATTCAATAATGCCTTCTTACATATACACTGTATTTTTAGCTCCTGTTGTTAGGTTCACCAACAAGTCAAACCTACAGGAGGTGTTCTGCAGTGCCCAGGCCACCGCTCAGCTGACTGCTGAGGTGTCAGATTACGATGCACAGGTTTGTGATGGGAACATAAATCATTCCCAGTTATACTTCTAGCTTTTATTTTGATGCACTATCATTGACCAAATTTAGTAGATTTTTCTGTGCTATTTTAAGTTAGTCAAATCAGTTTGACTGAAGAAACATTGAACTAAACTGTCTAAAAATGCTAAAACGTTCTTTTAATTTTGGTTAGCTCTTTTCCCCGAGCTTCTAATTGACATTACATAGTCAGTACAGTATGTTACGTTTTCGGTTTTATGTAACTGTTATCCTTCATACACATATATGTATTTGTAAATGTACCTGTATTTGAGTACTTGTCAGTATACTCTTTTAACTATTTTGCTTTAACTAATGTCTATTTTGGCCATCTGTTCTGTGTGTGTGCCTACAGGTGGTCTGGATGAGGAATGGGCGGGAGGTGAAAACGGGGAAGAAGTATGAATACATGATTGTCGACCGCAAGAGGATCCTTATGGTTCACAACGTGACAGAGGAAGATGTGGGCATCTATGAGTGTGCTTTAGCTGATGACAAAATATCCCTGCAGCTCTCTCTTAAAGGTACGCACATTAAAGAAGTAAAGTTAAGCACTTTAACTTTATCACAGAGCAAAGTAAACAATCTGACTGCCAAGGTTTCAGTGTTGGAGTCTGAACCAAGTATCACCAATATGCACTGCTCGGTGAAAACATGATTGCGTGAATGTAACCTGGCTCAGTGTGTGAAACGAGTCCCAACTCAAGCCCACATGCAGACAGTTTGTCTCAGGTCATGTGATATACTGAAATGTGACCCACTCTGATGGCTGCAGCATATGCTTTTGAGCCATCAAATAGAGGAAAGAGTTGTATATCAATGTAGTCGGCTCCCGTGTTACTCTGCTACCCCAAAGTCATGCTCTTTCCACACATGAGCTGCTCTGATAACAAACGTAAGGATATACATTTCCCAAGGGATTTTAAAAGAGATGCACAATAAATCTCCATATATTTTTTGACAGTCAGTTTTACACGTGTAGCATTCTGGTTTTATGTCGACTCACAGTGGTAAAAACAGTAACGTCACGGCCACACACACACACACACACACACACACACACACACACACACACACACACACACACACACACACACACACACACACACACACACACACACACACACACACACACACACACACACACGTCTTCAGTTTGGAAGTTCTTTGCGAACACAATACTTAAAGCTTGCAATTTGTAGCATCTGCAAGTCCAAAAAAACCATGGCACATTATCCATGAAATTTGGAACCTCCAGCTTCATCAGACATTTAATTTATTATTTAGTAATTAATTCCCATGCATGCTGCTCAAGAGTATTCGCAGTGACCTGCTCTTCTGCCAACAGCACAGCGCCTCTCCATGTCCTCTCAGGCTGGAGGACACATAACTCTACATTCTTGTAAATAGATACTCATTCATAAATAGTTTTATATAGACATACATACATAGTGTTGGATACGTAATGAATAGATTACTCTCTATATAATATGTTGGCCTTCATACACACTATAGTGTATCTGATTCTTCTCTGATATGCATGAACATACAATTTACAATTTCCTTTAAAAGCAAAATAATGAATAATGTTTATGTATGCTGTTAAAGATAGTTCTTAGTATAACATTTGGAATCTGCAGGTCCCACTTATAAATAAGGGGAGGCCATAATAGGTCAAGAAAATGTTGGTGCATTTTTAGATTTGTATTATTGTCACAAATATTGACTTCTCCATAATTCACTAACCCATATGTTGTCTGTATGAAATACAAATAAATAATTTGACAAATAACAAAAAAGTAATCACTGTATATCCACCTCTATTTCTCTAAGATGAACCTGCCAAGTTCCTGAACAAAGCCAGAGGAACCATGGGAATGTCATCAACCCTAAAAGGAGACCTGGAGCTGACCTGTGAGGTTTCTCCAGCCAGCGCGGCCGTGGTGTGGAAGAAAGATCAAGTGCAGATCACCGAGGACCAAAGAACGACCACCGTCGCCAAAGGGACTCAAAGGAAACTCATCATCAAAAACGCCAAGAAAAGTGACGAAGGACATTACTCCTGTGAGACAGCAGCAGACAAAGTCACATTCCAGGTCAAGATAAAAGGTAAGACTGTTTGATTATTTTTGTAGTACGATTCAACCCTGCACATCAAAGATGAATATGATATCAATGTCCTTCTTCTTTTCAGAAACTCAGGCAGTAGCCGCCTTCTCCAACAGGGAATCAGTCCAAAAGGAAGTTAAAGCTACTCTCACCCAGAAAGCTACTCTTAGTTGTGATGTCTCTGATAGTAAGATAGAAGTGAAGTGGTATAAAGACGGCAAGCAGCTGATATCCAGCAGGACGATATACTCAGAAGTAAAAGGCAGTACTCGTCAGCTGGTGATTGAAAAGGTGGAGAAGAGCGATGCTGGAGAGTATACGTGTGAAGCGGCAGGGGATAAGCTGGTCTTCAAGATATCTGTCTCAGGTAGGACTGCTAGAATTCATTGACAAATACAACTTCACAAATATTTCCAGTATTATACAAATAATATAAACTGTGTCTGTGAACTACTGAATGAATATCATTTGAGTTAAGCATAACGAGGCTTCGAAGTTTCATTCGTTATGTTGACATTCAAGTTTTAAATCGATATTCAAAATGTGTGCTTGTAGCAATGTATTTTGATTAGCCTGCTGCTGTATTTATTCGAATGACACAACAAGTTGATATCCATTAACAATTGTTGATTTGATCTACTTTGATTTGAAAAAGAAAAGACACATTTAGTCACATTTCATTGTTTGTTTTGTTTTTTTGCTTGGTTACATCAGAAAAACTACAACAGACATTCAAAGCTCCATTTGAAAACCTTCGATAGAAGCTTTGAATGCATGTGTGCTATATGTTTCAATCATTTGATCTTAAACCTCCTTATAACAATGCTGTTTTTCATATTGATGTTCCCCTCAGAGTTCCAATCAGCCTTCTCGAACAAGGAGTCCGTCCAGAGCGAAGTGAAAGCCACTCTCTCCCAGAAAGCCACTCTGAGCTGTGAGGTAGCTGATACCAAGACAGAGGTGAAGTGGTACAAGGAGGGCAAGCTGCTGACTTCCAGCAAAACAATCCATACAGAGACAAAAGGCAAGAGTCGCCAGCTGGTGATCGACAGCGTAGAGAAGAAGGATGCTGGAGAGTACATCTGTGAGGCTGGGACTGAGAAGCTGGCATTTAAGATGCATGTGGCAGGTAAGAGCGGGGGATTTTCTAAATATGAATATTTCTAATTCACTGCTTTTTGGATCTGATATTTCCCCTCTCATATCTCCTTCATCAGAAGCTCAGTCAGCTTTCTCCAACAAGGAGTCTGTCCAGAAGGAGGTAAAAGCCACTCTATCTCAGAAATCCACCCTGAGCTGCGATGTTTCTGATACCAAGACAGAGGTGAAGTGGTACAAGGAGGGCAAGCTGCTGACTTCCAGCAAAACAATCCATACAGAGACAAAGGGTAAGAGTCGCCAGCTGGTGATCGACAGCATAGAGAAGAAGGATGCTGGAGAGTACATCTGTGAGGCTGGGACTGAGAAGCTGGTCTTCAAACTCAATGTGGCAGGTAGGGCCCAGGACTGAATTGTCAACAAAATAATGTGTTGATGAATTTTCTTATCATGGATAACTAAAACATTTAATGATCCATGTTCTCCTCCACAGACACACAGGTCCAGTCTGCCCTTTCTGACAAAGAGTCAGTCCAGAAGGAGGTGAAAGCTAGTCTCTCCCAGGCGGCCACCCTGAGCTGGGAGATATCTGATTCCAAGTCCGAGGTGAAGTGGTACAAGGATGGCAAACTCATAAGCACCACTCAGGCGATCCATGCAGAGTCAAAAGGCAAGAGTCGCCAGCTGGTGATCGACAACGTGGAGAAGAAGGATGCCGGAGAGTACATGTGTCAAGCTGGGTCTGAGAAGCTGGTCTTTAAAATGCATGTAGAAGGTAAGGAGAGTGAATTCAGTTTTTGTGATTGTTGGAACTTATTTAGTCTGCATTATTGGTTCTTTAATTTTGAGATGTTTGGCATGCTGTGCTCAAACATCTATATTGCAAAATGGCCCCTGAGTCTGTTATTAGATGGCCCTTGAAAGATATATGTGTATATTTTAATTCATATTTAGCCTCAGGCTTTGATTTCTCGTAGCATTTGCTTACTGAGGGAGCTCTGTTGTCTTATGACTCCGTTGATTGTTACTTCCTGCTCGCAGACCTGGTCTGGTTAACAATATCAGTCCGCTCCTCTTTTCAGCAACTTTGTAGATGACCAATTAGCTTTTTCTTTAAGACTGCAAATGCAATGTTGAGTCTCACTCAACCTGACATGCTTTAATAAAGCTCATTGCTCAGTACACTGTATATGTATGGTTATGTTGTCATTCTGCAGTTAGTTAATCCAAAAGGATATGAGATAACTCCTTTTTTGTACGTGTACATTTACTGACACCACACTCCTTTTCAGGTTCTTCTACAGAAGTCCACGCTAAATCCTCTTTCGTCAACAAAGAGTCTGTCCAGACGGAACTGAAAGCCACTCTCTCCCAGAAAGTGACTCTGAGCTGTGAGGTAGCTGATACCAAGACAGAGGTGAAGTGGTACAAGGATGGCAAGCTGCTGACTACCAGCAAAGCCGTCCACATGGAGTCAAAGGGCAAGATTCGTGAGCTGGTGATAGAGAAGATGGAGAAAAAAGATGCAGGAGAGTACATCTGTGAAGTCGGAACTGAAAAACTGGCAATTAGAGTGCAATTGACAGGTATGAGGAATTAAAGGGACTACTTCATGTGATTTGTTTAAATTAAAGTGGACCTATCATGCTATATTTAAATGATATATTGTAGGGCCATACCTATATAAGGTATATTTATACGTTTCTGTTTTCAAAATACCAAACAGATCATGCATTTTAGCCATGCCTCATTTCGCTCTATGTGCTGTTTGCTGTCTACGGGGCTGATCTCTGTGAGCTGCAGCTGACCACGCCCCCCTGCAGGAGAGGGAAGCCGTGCTCTGATCAAGTCAAGAGGGGGAGAAAAAAAGATCTCCGTCCTCCGTGTTTTATTTATATATACAGTCTATGGTTTTATTATATTATTATAGGCCTATAGAGTCGTTATTCATTTGTTTTAAAGCTCAATAAATAACAAAGAAGACCTTTGACCGGCACTTTTCTAATTTTGTCCGGAAGATTTACGGACATCTTGACCGGCGAAAGAAACTGAAACTGAAACTCTGCCGCACGGTCCCCTCGTTCCTTGGAAGAGGCGGAGAGGTGGGTGTTTGTCATCTGCTGGTGGACTAACCGGAGAGAATTACAGTGCTTGCCTCGACGGGGAGGGATTGCATTGAATTAAAGCAGCGGGAGCAAACGCTTGCCTCGGGGAGGGAGAAAAAAAGCCACAGCGGAGAATAAACAGAAGGGTAACCATGGTAACTATGGGCGGGAAGTCTTCTTCGCTGCTTTTGTGCCAGACTACAGCGCCACTTACAGGCCTGGCATATGTACTACAGCGTCTCCAGCGCTTTCGAGCGGCAATGGCCGGCCGTGGCCCAACCCCACATTCCCCTGATAGGTGGAGAGTTGGCCCAATAGCCGTAGCGCCACCTCTGTGCCGACATAGAAGTGTTCAAATCTGGATAATTCTGTATCAGATCCGTTGCAGCCCCTTTTTTAGAGATTTGGCTATGGAGGAAAATAGAGAGGGTTGTGTTTTCTGACACTTGGTGAGTTCCCTGGAACACCGGGGACACATATTCATGTATAAAAGACGTACAAAAGTGCATTTTGCATGATAGGTCCCCTTTAAGTTCAAATTTATATTAAGTTTTGCTATATTTTATAAGATTGCATTAATATGATGGTGGGCAATCAGAAATCCTTTATTACTCCCTCAGCGTGAACATGTACAATGCCATGACGTTTTCCATTATCACTTTTTCAGAAATCCAACAGAAGTTAGCATTTTCCAACAAGGAGTCCGTCCAGAGCGAAGTGAAAGCCACTCTCTCCCAGAAAGCCACTCTGAGCTGTGAGGTAGCTGATACCAAGACAGAGGTGAAGTGGTACAAGGAGGGCAAGCTGCTGACTTCCAGCAAGACAATCCATACAGAGACAAAAGGCAAGAGTCGCCAGCTGGTGATCGACAGCGTGGAGAAGAAGGATGCTGGAGAGTACATCTGTGAGGCTGGGACTGAGAAGATTGCTTTTAAGATACAGGTTGCAGGTAGGAGCGTGGGATTTTTCAAAATATGAATATTTCTAATTCAATGCTTTTTGGATCTGATATATCCCCTCTCATATCTCCTCCATCAGAAGCTCAGTCAGCTTTCTCCAACAAGGAGTCTGTCCAGAAGGAGGTAAAAACCACTCTATCTCAGAAATCCATCCTGAGCTGCGATGTTTCTGATACCAAGACAGAGGTGAAGTGGTACAAGGAGGGCAAGCTGCTGACTTCCAGCAAAACAATCCATACAGAGACAAAGGGTAAAAGTCGCCAGCTGGTGATAGACAGCGTGGAGAAGAAGGATGCTGGAGAGTACATCTGTGAGGCTGGGACTGAGAAGATTGCTTTTAAGATACAGGTTGCAGGTAGGAGGAATAATTGAATGGTCTTGTTGGTCTATCTGAATGTAATAATGATATATATTCATTGCATCTGAAATGTTTTGCTGTGTGTATCTTGGGTTAACTTTTATGCATTTGTTTTGTTTTACTTTGCTCTGCAGAACCCCCGGCTGGTTTCTCTAACACACAGTCTGTTAAGCAAGAGGTGAAAGCCACTCTCTCCCAGAAAGCCACTCTGAGCTGTGAGGTAGACGATACAAAGACGGAGGTGAAATGGTACAAGGATGGCAAGCTGCTGACTACCAGCAAAGCCGTCCACATGGAGTCAAAGGGCAAGATTCGTGAGCTGGTGATAGAGAAGATGGAGAAAAAAGATGCGGGAGAGTACACATGTGAGGCTGGAACAGAGAAGCTTGTATTTAAGATGCAGGTTACAGGTAAAATATATTTCAAATACTGGTTTTATTTTGATACATGATTCTCAGAACAAACAAATGAAAACAAGCTCTTACATCTCTCTAGATGCAGCTGTCAAGTTCCAGAAAAAGCTTGTCAAGGACACATGTATTGTTCAAGCAAGTGAAAAAGTTGTTTTGACCACCGAGCTGACGACAGAGAGTGGTAGTGTGAAGTGGTGCAGAGATGGTGTGGAGCTCAAGGAGGGCAGCAAGTATGAAATGAAAAAAGAAGGCCTTTCTCGTACCCTGATAGTGAAATCGTCTGAATCCAAAGACAGTGGAACATACTCCTGTCAAACTGCTGATGACAAACTGGAGTTCAAAGTTCAAGTTAAAGGCAAGTCATGGAAAAGTTAACAACTTTATAGACATCTCCAGGTGGCAGATTTAATTTTGATGTCTAACTTCCATGTTTTCATTTCAGATTCGGCTTTGAAGTTTGTTGTCCCTTTGAAACCTGCTACAGTGGATTTGGAAGGCACACTCAGCCTGATGTGTGAGCTAAATCAAGCCTCAGGGGATGTTGTCTGGCAGCATGATGGTCGTGAGATTAAACCTGGAGGCAGGTACTGTGTGAGGACAGATGGTGCTAAGCGGGTCCTCACCGTGACTGGCATGACTAAAGAAGATGAAGGAGAATACAGCTGTGAATGTAGAAATGACAAGACCTCCGCCAAAGTTACCTCAAAAGGTAATTCATTGTTTACCTTCAACACTTTCAGGTAGTTTATTCTGTATCAGTTTATTTCATTTGATGTCATGCTTTCCTTTCAGCACCCAGACTGGTGAGGCTGACTACTAAACTGAACAATGTGGCTGCCATGGAGGGAAAAGATGCAATTTTCAAGTGTGCTGTCAACCCAGCAGACGTCAACGTTAAATGGTTCCACAACAGCATACCCGTCACTGCTGGGCCCAAATATAAGATTGGGCGTGGGGGCAGCAGTCACTCACTCACCATCACCTCTGTCACACAAAAAGATGGCGGAGAGATCAGCGTGGATGCAGAGGGCAAAAGCTGCAAAGCCAACCTACAAGTGGAGCGTAAGAACACTCAATATAATTATTTAGTATGTTAAAGGTCACCTATTATCCAAAATCCACTTTTACATGTCTTTTATACATAAACATGTGTCCCCTCTGTGTAAAGAGATTCTGAGAGTTTCAGGAAAAAAGATTCGCTCACTTTTTGTCCTGATCCATTTATATAAAAACCTGTCTGAAAATGAGCTGATCAGATTTTGACCACTTTATGATGTCATAACGTTTTTTTGGCTTGTCTAACCATTAACCAATAACCAACCAAGGTAAACCCCCCCCCCCCCCCACCTTATCACCTGAATCTCCTCCTAGAGCACCATTGTGTTTTTTTTAACCAAATATCTCTCAGAGGGGCGTGGGGAGTGGCTCCTTATTTTCATCTAAAGTAACAGACCCAAAATCAGCCCTTTTGAAACAGGGCTGAAACAGAGGGGATTATGGGATGCTATAATGCATGATCTGTTTTGTATTTCGAGCCAAACACTTCAGAGACATGTTTTGTATATAACTTAGAACTATAATATATTGATGAAAAACAGTATAATAGGGGACCTTTAAGTAATATTTTTTCCTCATCAACTTTGACAATTCTGTGTGCCCCATTTAGATGAACCTGTGACTTTTAAGAAAATGCTAGAAAACCTGACAGTGGAGGAGCAGAGTGAAGTGAAGCTGGAGTTGGAGCTGAGTAAGGTGTCGGATGAAGTGAGGTGGATGAAGAACAGCGTTGTGCTGCAGCCTTCAGGAAACATGGAGATTCAGGTCAACGGAGCCAAGCAGGCACTGATCTTCAAGAGCGTGGCTTATGCTGACCGGGGCATCTACTCCTGTGAAACCCTGGATGACAAAACCCAGGCCAAGCTCAGTGTGGAGAGTAAGATTGATACACAACATACAGTATTTAAATGCATATAGAAAGACAATGTCATTCTCCAGTGTTTAGTGATATCATTCTTTATTTAAAAGCTAAGAAACCTTGAGCATGTTAAGTCTCAAACCTTTTCTCATCCTCCCTTCAGTGAAAAAGATCCAGGTAATTAAGGGCCTAACAGAAACCAAGTCACATGAGACAGAGACGGTAACTCTGGAGGTAGAGCTCAGCCAGGCTGATGTTGAGGGCTTCTGGACCAGGGATGGGGCCAAGTTAAAGTCAGGGGCCAACTGCCGTATCACAGCTTTCGGAAAGAAGCATTCTTTAACGTTGTCCAATCTCAAGAGGGAGGACGCAGGAATGATTGCCTTCCAAGCAGAAGGAGTTCATAACTCTGGCACACTGGTTGTCACAGGTAAGTTATTTTTGTATGTCACCCATACTGCCACAAGGGTCATTGTGTCACAACGTTTTTAATACCATTTTTTGATTATACAGAACTTCCTGCTATGATCGCCAAGCCCATGGTAGATATCAGTGTCGCTGATAAGGAAAAGGTTACTTTTGAATGTGAAGTGTCCAAAACCAATGCAGATGTTAAATGGTTCAAGGTGAGAAGTTATTATTTAATTTACTGTCTGCTTTGGGAAAAAATGAGATTTTAAAAGTGTCATGTACATACAGAATGTAACATTTTGAAAAATCATTAATCTGCAGGATGATGTTGAACTGAAACCAGGGAAGAACTTTGGCATCCATTCCTTGGGCCGAAAGCGCAGTTTGGTCATCAACAAATGCACCCCTGAAGATGCAGGCACTTACATCTGTCGCACTACTGATGATAACACCTCAGCTAAACTCACTGTTAATGGTAATTATCAGTCATGTATTGAAGCACACAAATAAGTCATGTTGCCTTATTGGGTATAGAAACCTCTTAATAATGTTTTCCCTGCAGCCCGAGAAGTTAAGATTGTTAAGAAGCTGGAGGATGTGGAAGTGATGGAGAAGGAGAGTGCTGCGTTTGTCTGTGAAGTATCACATGATGAAGTTGAATGCCAATGGTACAAAGGAAGTACCAAACTCAAAGTCGGTGACAACATCAAGATGAGACAAGAGGGTAAAGTCTCAAAAAAGTTGTACAGCTATGTATACACCTGTATTTTCATGCATATGATTTACCTGAATAATGATTATCTACAAGTTGTCTTATTTCTTATTCCAGGCAAAACCTATGTACTTCTGTTTAAGTCTGTCACCATTGAAGATATGGGTGAGATTAAATTCACAGCTGACAAGGCCTCTTCAGCAGCAAAACTGAAAGTGAAAGGTAAACCAGTCCGTGTCATGAGCTGAAAACAAATATGTTGCTGCATGAATTTGCTAACCCTTATGTTGCAATGTTCGGATGAGGTTGAAAATGGATTTTTCTATTTATGACACAAATTGTTGCAAAATTGTAATACATCTGCACATTTGCAGATAACAAATGATTAGGATAATCATAAGTCTGCATACATTTTTTGCTAAATTCACCTCAACATTTCACCTGTTTTAGTGTGCCAATGAAAAACGCCACACTAAAACAGATTAAATGTTGTCTTATGATAAGCGTTAACAGAATGCATCAATCTGACAATATTGATGAGATAGAAAATCCAGTTTCAAGTTGCATTTGCATTGTTATGCCTCATTGAGGCCTGATGGCAAAAGGAAACACACATCTAGGATAGGATTCTTTTCATTAGGTTTAGTCATGGCTTTCTGTCTTGGTTGATTTGAGTTATTTGCAATGTTAGGCAAAATCTAAGAAGGATAAGATTAAGACCATTATTTGCTCTCAGGTGCTCAACATGCACATGTTTCTTATTTTATATGTCAGTGACTCTCTGTTTGCAATCAATAAGCAACTGATATATAAACAAGAATGGCTGTCACACTGTAATTCCCACTTGCAGTAGTGCCATTACAATATTATTGCTATCTGCTTTAGCTTTTGCAAAAAAACTAATGGGGCATCAAAAGCATTAATGCTCCATTACTTAGCCCCATTTGCTTTGGCTATAACACAATTCAATTATGAACAGTGGCTGTCCTTACGTGCACCTAAGCAAGGGCTTTGGCAAAGCTTTGGAATCAATAGCCTTTCATCTTCCCTTGTAGCATTCATGATAATGATAGTTTTAATTGATTCAGTGTTATTGTTACGATAGAGCTGCCTGTCAAGTTTGTGAAGAAACTCAGGGATAAGATAGCGATGTATAAGCATCGTGGACATCTTGAATGCCAAGTGTCACGTGCCAGCGCAAAGGTGAAGTGGTTCAAGAACAAGACGGAGATCAAACACGGCAAGAAGTACGAGATCAAAAGTGAAGATGTGTACCGAAAACTCACCATCAACGATGTGGCATCCGGGGACGAAGACACCTACACCTGTGACGCCACTGATGAAAAGACATCCTGTAAACTACTTGTGGAAGGTAACAAGGTTGATTGACAGCTGGCAGGTTCATCAAGTGTAGGGCATTTATATATATATATATATAAGATTCTATATTTCTGTATACTGGGTATACACATGCACATACTCAAAGTATGTATATAAGCCATCAGAGTCCTAATCAATGAGGTGTCCATCAATAGGTCTGTCTGTCTGTCTGTCTGTCTGTCCGTCCTTCTGTCTGGCTATGAATAAGTATTTTATTTATGTATAAATACAGGAGGTGATGTGGATTTAAGTATTGCCGCCTCTAAAACATGCATGGCCTAGGAAATAATTTAACGTAGTAACTGCTTTTTTTCAAAATTAAAAAAAGAGTGCAAGTGTGAAATATTTTCCTACACTTTGGAATAACATAAAACAAATGTGCACATTTCATGATTAACTTATCTCAAGATGTCATTTTTCCCTGCAAGTAGCGGTAGTAGTACACACACAATATTTTATACTTTTAATTGATTTCTGACCATTTGTGCAACATTTGCCTGTAATGTAATATATAGGCCTAGGTATACTTTTGAATTTGGGTCTCAAAAAGACTAAACCATTTGTGTGTAGTCCTTTAAAATAAATCATCATTACCTTTATGTAAGGACTTCTGAACCATTCTCTTTTCCTGACGACCCTACAGAGCAGTGCATCAGCATTGTGCGGGAGCTGACATCAGTAGAAGTGACAGAACCATTTGCAGCTGTTTTCGAAGTTGAAATCAGTATGGAACTGGTGAAACCTCCCATATGGACTCTGAATGCAGTTGCTGTGAAGGAGAGCGCCGATGTAGAAATGGAGAAAGAGGGCACAATGCACAGTCTCACTTTCAAAAAGACCAAAGCATCGATGACAGGACCTGTGCAGTTTACAGCTGGCAAGAGCAAATCTTTAGCCCAGCTCACAGTCAAAGGTAAATGTGTAGAATGACTTTTATACAGCAGTAGGCCACAATAACTTGTGTACTCTGTTTTTAATAAACATATCCAGTGTAATTGAATTGAGTCTAATCACATATTGTTCCTCACATTTAGAGCGTCCGCTTGAGATTACAGAGCCCATCAAAGATGTCAAGGGGAAAGAGAAAAGCTCTGCGATACTCACCTGTAAATTCTCTGCCTCACCCAAAGAGGTAGCGTGGTTCAAAGGCCAGGTGCCTCTGACCGCTTCAGACAAGTACAACATGAAGCAAGATGCTACAAGGGCTCAACTAACTATTCAAAGGTTGACTGAGGAAGACAGTGGAGATTACCGCTGTCAGTCCGGACCTGCTGAGGCCAAAGGGACCCTTACTGTTGAAGGTATTGTAGTATTGACCTTTGAATAACACACAGAAGACAGCAATTGTGCCATTTCTTAATCTTTCAATTAAACTGTTTTGTAATTGTCCTCAACTTAAACTGTTACTTTTCCTCTGTCCAGTGCGTGAAATGAAGATCAGCAAGCACTTGGCAGACACAGAGGTTGATGAAGACAACGATGCTGTGTTCACATGTGAGATAAACTATGCTGATGAAGAGGTACAGTGGCTTCTGAATGACAAGGTGCTCTTCACCAATGAAGTCAACACCATCGCACATGATGGGAAGGTCCACAAGCTCACACTGAAGAACTTGGCACCTCAGGACGGGGGGACTATCACCTTTCAGGTCCGCAAGGTGAAGGAGTCAGTGACACTTAAGGTTAAAGGTAAGAACTCGCTGGCATTGAACTGCTGTATAAATATCCGGTTAAAGAGGGGAATCAAAATCAAACCATACCTTGAGATTGTATCGGCATCTGCTTTGAGAATTCTGTTTATGCTGTCAGAACATTGTACATGTCACTCATTATTTATTTTCTCAATTGTCCCTCCAGAGAAGCGAGCAGTGTTCCTCAAGTCTCTGGATGATGTCATTGGAGAGGAAAAGGGCATGATAACTCTGGCGTGCGAGGCGTCCAAGCCCAGGGTTTCTCCTGTATGGAGAAAAGAAGTTAAAGTCCTAAAGGCCGGATCAAAGTATGAGCTCCTTCACACAGGCAAGTCTTTGGGGCTGATCATCAAGGACGTCACCAAAGAAGATGCTGGAGAGTACAGTTGTGATCTAGGAACTGAGGTTTCTAAAGCAAAGGTCACTGTAAGAGGTTGGTACTGTTATTGGGATGTGTTACAGTTTCATTCATATGGTGTAGTTTGTTTTCGTCACTAGCCTATGCTCTTTTTCCCAAATGTAGAGATTGCCATTGGAATTACCAAATGGCTGAAGTCGGCTGAGGTGAATGAGGGAGACTCATGTAACTTTGAGTGCATCTTATCTCGTGAGAGCACAGACGAGTGTTCCTGGACTCTTAATGGAAACACTATCACAGATGGAGGTCGCTTCAAAGTCACCAGTAAAGGACGCAAATACATGCTGACCATCAAGGATGTGACTCCTGCTGACGCTGGAGAGGTGGTCTTGAACATTAAAGACCTTAACTCCAAAACAACATTAAAAGTTGAAGGTAAGCGACATATTTAAGAGGCCTAGACAAATGAACAAAGGTATTAAGTAAAGAAAATAAACATCCCATTTTGCAGGCAAGGCTTCATCCGTGTCTAAAGGACTACAGAGTGTTAGTGCTGTCCAAGGAGAAGATGCTGTATTTACCTGTGAGGTAACAAAAGCTAGTTCCACTGTAAACTGGTCCATGGAAGGCAAAGCCATCAAAAAGAGCCAGAAGTATGACATCAGACAAGAGGAAAAGGTCATGAAGCTGACGATCCATAACATCTCAGCTCAAGACTCCGGAGAGTACAGTTGTGAAGTTGTTGGAGGTGCAACCACTAAAGCCAAGCTGGAAATCAAGGGTAAGACTCATAATCTTTGACAATGATAGAGCATTTAAGAGACAACACTAAGACACACAAATGCTAATGCATTTAAATTACAAAATATAGTATAACTGTAATTGCGGCAATGGAACAAGTTTCATTGTATATGTGCCACAAGCATGTAAAAATAATACAGAGTTTATTTTGCTGGATGATAAAAACAACTAATGACAGGACATCGTAGGAAAACTGTGTGACTCAACATTCTAGCTTCCACTCAATATCAAAGTTAACACCTTAACTGCAGTACAGTACTCTCTTAAAGTAACATTACACAGGTACAAACAATTAATAAAAGTAAGTTATGGACCTAAATTATTAAACTTACCTATCATTTGTTTACTTTAATTATAAAAACGAAAACCATAAGAAAGATAACAAGCATACCCATGCCTTAATACAAGTGTAGATCTGAGATAATCTTTTTTTCTGAAACAACAGATTAATCCTTCACATTTTTACTATGCCTAACATTCAAAATACTTTATTAAGCTCTTTTTTTTTTTACAGAGCCAATTCATAAATTCACTAAAGAGCTGAAGGACAGCCAAGCTGAGGAGAAGAGCAACGTGACCTTGCAATGTGAGACGGCACAAACCCCATCCACTGTGGTATGGCTTAAAGGTCACACAGAGCTCAATGCTGGAGGTCGATATGAGATGTCCCAGAAGGAGAGGGTCCTAACTCTGACCATCAAACAGCTGGAGGAGAAAGACACGGATATCTACACGTGTGACGTGGGCACGGCAAAGATCATGGCAAAGGTGACAGTCAATGGTAAGTACCTATGTTTGTATGTACACAAGTTTCAGGTAAGTTGTTGTCTTGCAGAGCTGGTTATTTGTAAGAATTATGTGTTATTTGCCTTGAGAATTTTTACTCTGACTGTTTTTTTTGGTCAAAGAGATAAATGCAATGTTGACGTTACTCACAGTATGGCCTTGCTTTGATGTTTTAAAGGCCAATTGGTTATAGTGAAAAAACCAAGGAAGGGTGAAAATAGTTTTGAAAGGGAATCTTCTACATTTGTTTGCTTTGTCAGTTCTGCTGATCGGTATTTTGCATTGTGATTGAATTTATTAAAAGATGCTTTGCTTTCATGTTAGCATTATGTTATTTTCTTTGTCTTGGTGTTTATATGATTGACAGACTGTTTGTACATCCACAAATTGTGAACGACATCCACCAGCATGTGCAAATGTTTAAAATGTTCCTGAAACCAAATGCATTGTCTTGTTATGCAAGGGCTACAAACTGCATAGAGGAATGTTTCCTGTGTTTGTCATCTTTTGTGCATTTCAAAATGCAATGAGAGATTGTTTTTGTAAAAGGAGCATCATCCGTACTGGTGGAATGATTCCAGTGGGACAACATCATTTTCACCTCTAATCATTTTCCATCATCAATCACTCAACCCAACACAATTCACCCTCCTGTTTTATACAAGCAAGTCATTGTTCATTTTATTCTAGCCCTGCCTGCCAATTTTAAAGAGAAGCTCAACAACCAGGGGAGAAAGGAAGGGGAGTCGGTGAAACTCTGCTGCAAACTATCGAAGCATGCTGATGGCGTTCAGTGGAAGAAAGGCTCTGAAGTTCTCAAAGCTGGAGAGAAGTATGAGATGAAGATGGAGGAGACTTCTTGTGAACTTCAGATTAAGAATTTGGAGGTTGAAGATAGTGGAGAGTACTCTTGCTTGTGCGGGGACCAGAAGACATCTGCAACTGTGAAAGTCACTGGTATGGATTTTTAGATAAATGAAATATTTACCAAAGCAGATCCACTTTGGCCTTGCTCGTGTTTTGTTTAAATATTTGTTAGACTATTTCACCTGAAGTTATAAAAAATTGGTTGTACAGCACTGCCGCCGACCTTCAAACAGAAGCTGGAGAGCCAGGAGGCTGAGGAGGGGGCTAGTGTTACTCTGCGTTGTGAGCTCTCCAAACCTGGAGTCCCTGTTGAGTGGAAGAAGGGAACAAAGGTCCTGAAGTCTGGAGAAAAGTACCAGATGAAGCAGGAGGCCTCTGTGAATAAACTCCTCATCAACAAAGTGCTGCCAGAGGACAGTGGAGACTACAGCTGTGTGTGTGGAGACCTGAAGACCACAGCCAGTCTCAACATTAAGGGTAGGAAGAGGATTTTTAAAGTGTCAGTTTGAGTATTATTTTCGTTGGATCAAATAAAATGTTATGTGTACATGGTCAGACATATCAGTTTTTGACTCTGACTGGCATTGTGCGTTGCAACTTGTCCGTCTTTGTCTTCTTCTTTCTGTGTTTGTTTTATTTGTATTGTTATATTTGATGTTATGCCACTGACTTCTAACCAACTAATTGATGCTCAGCCCAACCAGTGACCTTCAAACAGAAGCTGGAGAGCCAGGAGGCTGTGGAGGGGGCTAGTGTTACTCTGCGTTGTGAGATCTCCAAACCTGGAGTCCCCGTTGAGTGGAAGAAGGGAACAAAGGTCCTGAAGTCTGGAGAAAAGTACCAGATGAAGCAGGAGGCCTCTGTGAATGAACTGCTCATCACCAAAGTGCTGCCAGAAGACAGTGGAGACTACAGCTGTGTGTGTGGAGACCTGAAGACCACAGCCAGTCTCAACATTAAGGGTAGGAAGAGGATTTTTAAAGTGTCAGTTCGAGTAATATTTTCGTTGGTTAGAATAACACTTATGTGTACATGGTCAGACATAACAGTTTTTGAGTCTGACTGTCATTGTGCGTTGCAACTTGTCCGTCTTTGTGTTCTTTGTTCTGTGTTTGTTTTATATGTTTTGTTATATTTTATGTCATGCCACTGACTGCTAACCAACTAATTGATGCTCAGCCCAACCAGTGACCTTCAAACAGAAGCTGGAGAGCCAGGAGGCTGAGGAGGGGGCTAGTGTTACTCTGCGTTGTGAGCTCTCCAAACCTGGAGTCCCCGTTGAGTGGAAGAAGGGAACAAAGGTCCTGAAGTCTGGAGAAAAGTACCAGATGAAGCAGGAGGCCTCTGTGAATGAACTGCTCATCAACAAAGTGCTGCCAGAGGACAGTGGAGACTACAGCTGTGTGTGTGGAGACCTGAAGACCACAGCCAGTCTCAACATTAAGGGTAGGAAGAGGAATTTGACAGTTGGTTCAAGTAAAAAAAATGTCATGTATAGAACAACATTTTGCACATTTTAAACGTTGCTCTATACATAAAAAACAACTTGAGTTGCATATTTAGACATGTGTTATTTCTGTCTGAATCTCATTGTGCTTGGCAATGAGTCATTGTTTGTCTTCTGTGTTTGTTTTGTATTGTTATATTTGATGTTATGCCACTGACTTCTAACCAACTAATTGATGCTCAGCCCAACCAGTGACCTTCAAACTAAGATTGGAGAGCCAGGAGGCTGAGGAGGGGGCTAGTGTTACTCTGCGTTGTGAGCTCTCCAAACCTGGAGTCCCTGTTGAGTGGAAGAAGGGAACAAAGGTCCTGAAGTCTGGAGAAAAGTACCAGATGAAACAGGAGGCCTCTGTGAATGAACTCCTCATCAACAAAGTGCTGCCAGAAGACAGTGGAGACTACAGCTGTGTGTGTGGAGACCTGAAGACCACAGCCAGTCTCAACATTAAGGGTACGAACAGGATTTTTAAAGTGTCGGTTTGAGTACCAATTTCTATGGATAGAATAACATTTGAGGTGTTCATGGTCAGACATAACAGTTTTTGAGTCTGACTGTCATTGTGCGTTGCAACTTGTCCGTCTTTGTGTTCTTTGTTCTGTGTTTGTTTTATTTGTATTGTTATATTTGATGTTATGCCACTGACTGCTAACCAACTAATTGATGCTCAGCCCAACCAGTGACCTTCAAACAGAAGCTGGAGAGCCAGGAGGCTGAGGAGGGGGCTAGTGTTACTCTGCGTTGTGAGATCTCCAAACCTGGAGTCCCCGTTGAGTGGAAGAAGGGAACAAAGGTCCTGAAGTCTGGAGAAAAGTACCAGATGAAGCAGGAGGCCTCTGTGAACGAACTCCTCATCACCAAAGTGCTGCCAGAAGACAGTGGAGACTACAGCTGTGTGTGTGGAGACCTGAAGACCACAGCCAGTCTCAACATTAAGGGTAGGAAGAGGAATTTTACAGTTGGTTCAATTAACTTTTTTTTTCATAAATAGAACAACATTTTAACTTGTAAAATGTTGTTCTATACATAACAAAAGCTTAACTTGCATATTAAGACAGGTTTTTTCTATCTGAATCTCAATGTGCTTTGCAATGTGTTATTGTTTGTCTTCTGTGTTTGTTTTGTATTGTTATATTTGATGTTATGCCACTGACTGCTAACCAACTAATAAATGCTCAGCCCAACCAGTGACCTTCAAACTAAAATTGGAGAGCCAGGAGGCTGTGGAGGGGGCTAGTGTTACTCTGCGTTGTGAGATCTCCAAACCTGGAGTCCCTGTTGAGTGGAAGAAGGGAACAAAGGTCCTGAAGTCTGGAGAAAAGTACCAGATGAAGCAGGAGGCCTCTGTGAATGAACTGCTCATCATCAAAGTGCTGACAGAAGACAGTGGAGACTACAGCTGTGTGTGTGGAGACCTGAAGACCACAGCCAGTCTCAACATTAAGGGTAGGAAGAGGATTTTTAAAGTGTCAGTTCGAGTAATATTTTCGTTGGTTAGAATAACACTTATGTGTACATGGTCAGACATAACAGTTTTTGAGTCTGACTGTCATTGTGCGTTGCAACTTGTCCGTCTTTGTGTTCTTTGTTCTGTGTTTGTTTTATATGTTTTGTTATATTTTATGTCATGCCACTGACTGCTAACCAACTAATTGATGCTCAGCCCAACCAGTGACCTTCAAACAGAAGCTGGAGAGCCAGGAGGCTGAGGAGGGGGCTAGTGTTACTCTGCATTGTGAGATCTCCAAACCTGGAGTCCCCGTTGAGTGGAAGAAGGGAACAAAGGTCCTGAAGTCTGGAGAAAAGTACCAGATGAAGCAGGAGGCCTCTGTGAATGAACTGCTCATCAACAAAGTGCTGCCAGAAGACAGTGGAGACTACAGCTGTGTGTGTGGAGACCTGAAGACCACAGCCAGTGTCAAGATCAATGGTAGGAGGATCAGGGATTTCTTGGGTGATATTCACTACAATTAGGTGTACTTTTCAAATGTATTAACTACTTTAAACATTGATTTGGATTAGAGAAAATATTTGTGTTACACTTTTGTTTTGTCTTGATAGAAGCACTTCATTTTAAGATAACATTTCTGTTGCTTTTTATCATTTGTTGTTCTTTTCTGTTTCTGTTTGCTGCTTTACAAAATGTCAGCATATTTGTGGATGTCGTACCACATGTTGTCTTTTCCGTTGTATGTGGTGGATGAATAGATGGATGACTGTGCCTTGATCCCTTTTTGTGCTCTTCGCTGTGATACACTTTGAGTTTTCATCTTCTCTTCAAAATGTGTTTGAGATTACAAAACAAACAATGAACGAAGCAGCCAAAACTGACTACTATCAGAACACGTCAGTCTGTTTTTGTTATCAATGATAGGAGTGTTGAGGATTCATAATGCATGTCTGCTGGTCTGTGAACTGTTCTTGTCTATTTCCGCCAACAGATCAGTTTGTTCATGCAGTGTTGTAGCTATCAACTGTGTTTTATTTGTCATGCTTGTTCCAAAAAAAATTCTGTTTCAGTTGATGTTTTATTTTATTTTATTCATAATGCCAAAATACTTCAAACGATCAGGTATGTTACAGCATTCTAAGGTCAGATTGTTTCCTCTCAGCTGTGAAGCTCGCAGCTCCTCCTTCAGCTTCTAAACCAGAATCTAAGAGTCAGGAGTCCAAAGAAACAATCGAAGGTATGGTTGGAGGACGGCAATTTTCTTGTCTTCTGGCTTTATGTGCTCTGTCGATTTTGATAGTGGTCTTTGTGTCGCCAAGTGCAGCTTGCCCTTAAATCTGGCCTATACCCTTAGGCCTATATAAGTTATGATACATGTATTCCTCCCATGCTTTGGCTTTTTAGTTTACCCGTTTTTAGGCTGCAGTTTTGTGTGCCTCTGGTGTGTCCAATGCACCCCTGGAGTTATAGTTATGTGTTTGCAATGTTTATGTGGGTCTTTTCCCTCATTGTTGGATTGCAGTATATGTACGAAATGAAGGCTTTGTGTGCTAATTGTGCTGATAGCACAGTGATGCTTTGGGAATCATACCTATTGTTGGCTTTTGATTTTACATATGCATTAGTAACCTGCGTCTGGCATAATTATTTGCCCTCTGACGGTCTTTGAGTTTATGGCAGTTATAGAGGCTGTGCTCAGGTCTTTATATTAAATGATATAGGTAAGGCATTGTCACTGGTTGGTGACATTACATTCATGCAGCATGATGTCCATATGATATTTGTATTTCAGCAAAAGCCCCTGAAGCTCCCTCCAAAGTTGCTCAAGATGAGCGGAAGAAGCAAGAGATAAATGAGACAGTAGAAGGTAATTCTCTGAAGATTCTTGGCTTTGCTTGGTTATTCAACCCATGTCCATTTGTCAATTATCAGTCCAATGCATTGCTTCGTTATGCCAAAATTGAGAAAAACGAATGACTATTTATTCAGTTCTTAAAACTGTCACATCTTGTGTTGGCTGCTGACTGGTGTTATCTGATAGAAAGTTGTTGGGTCATGAATTGACTTACATTGTGTTTTGTTTTGCTTCATGGAATTGCTTTAAGGTTTAATATATTACACTATGTTTATATTTCCAAGCTAACCTGTGCTATTTATTCAGCCTGCTAAATGTGGCTTTTTTATTCACTTGGTAAATGTCATTTTTTTTAAGCTTGTATACACACAAAAAAGATCAATCTCAACATCTATGGATATCTGTGGTGCCTCGTTGACTTTGTTGCATGGAGACTGACTTTGTATGGAGACATGTCTTTGTTTTTAGCTGTTATTACATGTCGCTAGTGCTATCCTAAGGCACTTGTGGGTCTGATGCTATGTTCAATTTATAGCTGTGACACTGCCAACTACTGGACAGACTCCTCCACAGCAGCAACTCAAACTTCGTGGAGATTCTCAAGTGGGAAGTGATGGTAATGAGATACATGTTTGTATGGCATCTATCAGTTAGAGTTAGCATGGTCGTCATTTGAGTTATGCTAGATATCATGTATTTTAAGTCTTCTAGATAAACACACTTAAAGGTGGGGCAGGTAAGTTTGAGAAACCGGCTCGAGATCGCTAGAATTTGAAAATACACAACCGGAGAAAATCTGCCACTTCCTTATAGAGCCCCTCCTCCAACACACACGAACGCGCACATGACCAATGAGGGCACGAGATAAGTTTGTGCACAGATGGAAGGCTGACAGGCAGGTAGGCCATCCAGTTATTTTAGCCGGGCCGGCTAAAATGATTGGCCGTGCTTTTTACAGTACTACGGCTTCCACAGATGACATTTTTTTATGGATTTTTTGTCAAAGCACTTAAGATATTCATTGCTATCGGGATGTTAAGAGCATTGCATGCATGCATGGAATATAACAAAAAGTGTATCTCGAGCCGGTTTCTCAAACTTACCTACCCCACCTTTAACAAGAAAGAAGAATTAGAAACTATTAAGGGAGTAGGCAGCTCAGTTTGTTTAACTGTCTGTGCTGTTGGTTATGTTGCCTAATAATTGTGAGAAATATATACAGAAGTTGGCTTTTGTTTCTTGTTAGCCCTCGTTTGTTTCCCTGTTCCATTTTGTGGCACATACATAATTTTATCCTGTTTTAGTGCTTTGTTTGTTCCAGTTCCCTGTTGATTGTTAAAGATCTTTAGACTGGTTGTACAGGGTCATTAGCGTTTATATGTGCTTTACTGGCTTATTCGGCTCTTGTCTTCAGGTTATTGTGCTTTGCTTCTGACAGGTGTTATCAAACTGAAATATGTTTGACCAAACCTTTTGCTACTATTGTGATGAACTCCAAAAAAAGTTGTAATCTATCTCAACATCTGTGGATCTTTGTGGTGTCTCGTTGTGTTCAATTTCATAGCTGTAACACTGCCACCTACTGGACAGACTCCTCAACAGCAGCTCCTCAAACAGGAGAATCAGAAAGATTCTCAAAGCCTTGAACTGGGAGCCGAAGGTAATGGCACACGTGTCTGCATGGTGTCTGTCGGATACAGTAAGCATGGTCGTCATTTGTTTTATTCCAGATATAGTTTCTGGCTCGTAGAAAAACCCACTTGACAAAAAAGAAGAACTGGAACATATACTGTAGAGAGACTACATGTAGGCCGCTCAGTTTGTTTAACTGTCTGTGGCGTTGGTTTTGACAATTCTGTAATGGAAATATATAGACAGGATGGCTTTTGTTTTCTTGTTAGCGCTCGTTATTGTTGCTGTTCTCCATTTTGTGGCACTTACGTAATTTTGTCCAATTGTTTTAGTGCTATGTTTGCTCCAGTTCCCTGTTGATTGCTAAAGATCTTTAGACTGGTTGTACAGGGTCATTAGCGTTTATATGTGCTTTACTGGCTTATTCGGCTCTTGTCTTCAGGTTATTGTTCTTCGCTGCTGACAGGTGTTATCAAACTGAAATATTTTTGACCTAACCTTTTGCTAATATTGTGATAAACTCCAAAAAAAGTTGTAATCTTTCTCAACATCTGTTCACATCTGTGGTGTCTCATTGTGTTCAATTTCAAAGCTGTAACACTGCCCCCTACTGGACAGACTCCTCAACAGCAGCTCCTCAAACAGGAGAATCAGAAAGATTCTCAAAGCCTTGAACTGGGAGTTGAAGGTAATGGCACACGTGTCTGCATGGTGTCTGTCGGATACAGTAAGCATGGTCGTCATTTATTTTATTCCAGATATAGTTTCTGGCTCGTAGAAAAACCCACTTGACATAAAAGAATAACTGGAAAATATAGAGGGACTACATGTAGGCCGCTCAGTTTGTTTAACTGTCTGTGGCGTTGGTTTTGAAAATTATGTAATGGAAATATGTAGATAAGATGGCTTTTGTTTTCTTGTTAGCGCTCGTTATTGTTGCTTGTATTTGTGGTAAATACTCAATTTTGTCCAGTTTTTTAAGTGCTTTGTTCGTATCAGTTATTTGTTGAATGTTAAACATTTTCTGTTGTAAAGGGTCAGTTGTTTTTACGTGTGCTTTACTGGCTTTCTTTTGGCTGTTGTCTTCAGGTTATTGTTCTGTGCTGCTGACATATGTTATCAAACAGAATTGTGTTGGTTCATTACAAAAATGCTTTAAGGCTATACATGGTTTTAATCTATTTCAACATCTGTGGTTATCTCTGGTGTCTCTTTGTTCAATGTCATAGCTGTAACACTTCCACGTACTGGACAGACTCCTCAACAGCAGCTCCTCAAAGTGGAGGTACATAAGGATTCTCAAGAGCTTAAAGTTGCAGGGGAAGGTAATAAGAAACATGCTTGCATAGCTTCTGTCGGATACTGTGACATCTGTCAATACTAAGCATGGTTGTTATTTGTTTTATTCCAGATTTAGTTTTAAAGGTTGTAGACAAAGAAGAACTGGAAATATGGAGGGAGTAGGCAGTTCAGTTTGGATTTACCATTAAATATAAGAAAGTGGCTTTTGTTTTCTGGTTAGGCCTTGTTGCTATTCTGTCAATTCTGTTTTGTGGCAAATGCTGATATTGTTTTTTTTAGGTCGGATTTTAATAATGTTTTAATGCTTTGTTTCTCCAGTTTTGTGTTGAGTCTTGAATATTTTGATTCTACGTGTATGGTACTTTGGCACATCTGTGTTGGCATGCTGCTGCCTGTTGGATTATTGATAATGATCTGTGAGAGGAGAGAGCCTTTAATGGTTTTTACTTGAAGCGTTAATGATTTTGATTGCTTTCCGTTCTCATGGCTGCCTGTTGTCTTAAGGTTATATATTTCATCACTGCACTATTGTGAGGTTATTGTTGTGTTTTATCCCAGTTGAGAAGACGGCTGCTGGAACAGCTGCTGACACAAAGAGGCAGGGGACCAAAGAGCCACTAGAAGGTATGCAATGATTGTAGCTATATCAGCCTTGTGCTTCTACGTTGTCTCTTGCCACATCCGACTCAGTCTTTGTGTTGTCAAACCAGGTGTTCTATCTCTTCTAATAGTTTTTGTCTTATAGAGCATGTTTTGGTGTAGCTTGTCGTTGCTGTAAGGGGTGGGCAATGGACATACATATTTTCAGGTAAATAGGTTTCTAAGGTTTGGTCAACAGAATATCACAATATGAATACAGGGGGAGATGCTAATATATAGTACCATATTAGCTTTTGTATTAACGCCTGGCCATCGTTGTCATGATGTTTTTCTTAACTGTCCTCCAACAGCAGTTCCTTGTTATTCTGTTTGTTAAGTGTTTGTGCTCCTTGTGGTTTTTAGCCAATGTGACATGAGTGAAAGACTATAGCAAATACCAGATTTGTACGCAGCTATTATTTAAAAAAATAACCTTTATTTAGCAGGAGATCATTGTCACTGCTTCTTAAAACAAGTTGGTTTTTGAGACGTAATCTGTCTTGTGGCTTGTGAACCTGTGCTTAGCCTTCTGTGTATATCGCTGTGCTGTGGGTGGAGTTTCTGATGATGTGATGTAACTTAATCTTCTACAATGTCAGAGATGACAGTTGATTGTACAAGGTGTTGCGGAAAATCTGTACTCAGTTCATGCTCTTAAGATGAATTAATTGAGATGAATAGAAACTACATGTGTGGCTACTGGCTCTTTAGGCACCATGTTTTGGTTTTAATCAGTCTTAAATGTTTTATCACAGCATCAAAGCCTCCAGATGCTCAAGCAGCTGTGACATTACACCCTGAGGATTCCAAAAAAGTCGAAGGTATAAACCCACATTCGTAAACTTTTGTCTCTGTTGGTTAAGCTCTTGGTCATGGCTCTGTTTGTACGTTTTTATTCAGTGAAGTTGGTTTTGTGTTGTCATGGACATTGTTGCTCTAGAAACGTGTATGGCACATTGCTTTTGGTGTTGCGATGTTGTTTAAAACTTCCAGTGTATGTATGTTGAATTCAAACATACTTTATATGTCTACCAATAACTTCAGATACAGTAAAGCAGTCACCAGCTCCAGAAGTGATCTCCAAAGTTGAACCTGAGAAGAAGGAATCCAAAAAGACGGTTGAAGGTATGTGTGATAGTGATAGTGAAGAACACTGGTTTTATTGAGTGTATAAAACTCTCTTGAGCGCTGGGGTTTTACTCAAGCACATGCTGTGATAGAATAAGCTCATAAAGGCTGTTGACACATAACGTCCTGTGTCTTGAGGGTTTTGTCAAAAGTATGGAACATTTCTTTTTGATGGCTGATGAGTTGGAAATTGCGTATTGGGAATTGCTGATATTGTTTTTTTGGGTCGGATTTTAATTATGTTTTAATGCTTTGCTACTCCAGTTCTGTGTTGAGTGTTGAATATTTTGATTCTATATGTTTATGGTACTTTGGTACATCTGTGTTGGAATGCTGCTGCGTGTTGGATTATTGATAATGATCTGTAAGAAGAGAGAGCCTTTAATGGTTTTGATTGCTTTCCGTTCTCACCTTATGTATGCCTTCCAGGCCATGGCTGCCTGTTGTCTTAAGGTTATAGATTTCATCACTGCAATATTGTGAGGTTATTGTTGTGTTTTATCCCAGTTGAGAAGACGGCTGCTGGAACAGCTGCTGACACAAAGAGGCAGGGGACCAAAGAGCCACTAGAAGGTATGCAATGATTGTAGCTATATCGACCTTGTGCTTCTACGTTGTCTCTTGCCACATCCGACTCAGTCTTTGTGTTGTCAAACCAGGTGTTCTATCTCTTCTAATAGTTTTTGGCTTATAGAGCATGTTTTGGTGTAGCTTGTCGTAGCTGTAAGGGGTGGGCAATAGACATAAATAATTTCAAGTAAATACTTTTCTAAGGTTTGGTCAACAGAATATCACAATATGAATACAGGGGGAGATAATGGTACCAAATTGGCTTTTGTATTAATGCCTGGCCATCGTTGTCATGATGTTTTCTTAACTGTCCTCCAACAGCAGTTCCTTGTGAATCTGTTTGTTAAGTGTTTGTGCTCCTTGTGGTTTTTAGCCGACGGGACATGAGGGAAAGACTATAGCAAATACCAGATTTGTACGCAGCTATTATTTAAAAAAAATAACCTTTACTTAGCAGGAGATCATTGTCACTGTTTCTTGAAACTAGATGTGTGGCTACTGGCTCTGTAGGTTTTAATCAGGCTTAAATGTTTTATCACAGCAGCAAAGCCTCCAGATGCTCAAGCAGCTGTGACATTACACCCTGAGGATTCCAAAAAAGTCGAAGGTATAAACCCACATTCGTTAACTTTTGTCTCTGTTGGTTAAGCTCTTGGTCATGGCTCTGTTTGTACGTTTTTATTCAGTGAAGTTGGTTTTGTGTTGTCAATGTCATGGACATTGTTGCTCTAAAAACGTGTATGGCACATTGCTTTTGGTGTTGCGATGATGTTTAAAACTTCCAGTGTATGTATGTTGAATTCAAACATACTTTATATGTCCACAAATAACTTCAGATACAGTAAAGGAGTCACCAGCTCCAGAAGTGATCTCCAAAGTTGAACCTGAGAAGAAGGAATCCAAAAAGACGGTTGAAGGTATGTGTGATGGTGATAGTAAAGAACACTGGTTTTATTGAGTGTATAAAATGATAGTTACGTCTGTAACTACGGTTCTATGAGTCCCGGATGACCACCAGAGGCGGTGCTTTAAGCACTGGATATGTCCATCGCGCGCATGCGCAGGTCGAGTACCAATACCAACAAAGTCACCTGTGACCCCACGTGACACCGGCTATATCTGCCGGTGTCGTCAGAGGATCTGTTCCCAGAATCTTCTCGCGAGCACACAAGAATTCTGAGTGACAGGATACTCTGGCGGTCATCCGGGACTCATAGAACCGTAGTTACATACGGAACTATCGTTCTATTTCGTCCCTACTGACCGCCAGAGGCGGTGCTTTAAGCACTGGATGACTTATACCAACACTGCATGAAGAATCCAAGCCCTTGCTCACTACTGGAAGCAGCGGAGCTCGGCAAAAGGACCACACCCAAAGGATGGGGAGTGGCGACATTAACCCGATAAAACCTGGAGAATGTGCCAGAAGACGCCCACGACGCCGCGGCGCAGATGGTCTCCAGGGGCACCCCTCTCAGGGCAGTCCAAGACGTTGAGATGCTCCTTGTAGAGTGGCATCTCAGCCCTGATGGCAGGGGGCGGCCACTGGCCCCAAAGGCATGTGAGATGGTATCGACAACCCAGTGGGGCAGCCGCTGTTTAGAGAGCACAACATATTTTAGTGCCGCCATGGCAAGCGAAGAGCTGCTCTGACTGCCGTATACAGGCAGTAGCATCAATATATGCCCTTAGGGCATGCACAGGGCACAGCAACTCCGACGTGCCTTTCTCCCGAATGTCAAAGCGTGCCAGCTGGACAGGCTGATTGAAGTGGGTTTGTGGAAGCACCTTGGGCAGGAACACCACCCTGAGCCATCGGAGTCCCACTTCAGGCATGTATCGCTCACGGAGAGGGCATGCAACTCCCCAACTCGCTTCCCTGAGGTTATGGCAAGCAGGAATGCTGCCTTCGCGGACAGCCACTTAAGCCCCACCTGGGCCAGGGGCTCGAAGGGAGGAGATGATAGGGCATCGAGCAGCAGGGGCAGGTCCCAAGCCGGAGCCCTCGGGGTGCTAGGGGGACGCTGCCGTAAAACCCCTCTCAGGAAGAGGGACACCGACCTGTGGCACCCCACCGTGGCGCCGTCGACCCGAACATGTCGGGCAGAAATAGCAGCCACATAAACTCTCAAAGTGGAGTGAGAACGTCCACTATCTAGAAGGGACTGCAGTCTGGGTAACAGTGGACATGTTGACCGAAGGAACAAGCACATGCTTGCCCCCCAGTTGGGGTAAAAAGTGCGTGAGTGCAAGCTGCGCAGCCCGAAGCTCTAGCACGTTGACATGGCGTGCACCCTCCTGGGCAGACCACTGACCCTGGACAGTCCTGCCCTGCCACACTGCACCCCACCCTGAGAGACATGCATCTGCAGTGACAGTCTCCCGGCGGGATGGGATGGCGCCCCTGGGCACGCCCATCAAAAGATAGTGCTGTGGTCAGCATATGGAATGGCAGCACCTTCAGGAATCTGTTGATTCCTCTGAGGTCCATGATCGGACGAAATCCGCCGACTTTCTTGTACGCCGAGTAGAACCCCCCGGGCTGAAGCAGAGGGTCTACTGGCTCGATTGCGCCCTTGGCGCCCTTGTTTTTTGTATACAACGTATCAGTTTGGCAAAATCACTTTAAATGATTAAGTAAATTCATTGTTGCATTTTGCTGCTCTGTGTTTACTTCAGATATATTATGTGTAACTAAATAAATCACACCTGCAGAGATTGAAAAGCCTGCTGTTTCTGAAGTCATCACAAATCCAGAGCTTTCAATGCTGGATACCAAAGAGAAAGAACAAGGTAGATGTTTTGTGGCAACCGCACATTGTGTATTCTTCTCAGTTTTTATGTGTTTTCCTTGTCGATTTGTGTATGCTGGGAAATCAGTCTGGCTTGTTTCTGATGTCGTATTGACTCCTGAATGCCACATTTCATGTTGTCTCTGGATTGTTGTCGACGTGTAAAAGGAATAATTCAGATCTATGTTTGAGCTGCTTGATAACTGCTTAGGTGGACCCTTGTTTATAATGGGAGTAGGGATCAATAAATGTGTTATCACAAATGTTTTATCACAGCAGCAAAGCCTCCAGATGCTCAAGCAGCTGTGACATTACACCCTGAGGATTCCAAAAAAGTTGAAGGTATAAACCCACATTCGTTAACTTTTGTCTCTGTTGGTTAAGCTCTTGGTCATGGCTCTGTTTGTACGTTTTTATTCAGTGAAGTTGGTTTTGTGTTGTCTTGGACATTGTTGCTCTAAAAATGTGTATGGCACATTGCTTTTGGTGTTGCGA